TGCAATACTTTACTATTATTTAGAGCTTTTGTAGCTGCATTGCAGAGTATGGTTTTTAAACGCCCACATATAGGCACTGAAGATTATTTTCCTAACCCCTTTTTGATAAACTAAAAATTGCCTTTGGGTAAACACTATGGTTTTTAAAACATCTTTTTGTCTAACTGAACCCTATAATCCTAAGAAAAACTAAAGTCAATGAGATAGGTTTGAGAAGTCTCAATTGAAAAACTGAAATTAGGAGGCTGGCCCCGTGGCTGAGCGGTTTGGTTAATTTCGCACACTTTGCCTCGGCAGCCTGGGGTTCACGGGTTCAGGTCCTGGCGTGGACCTACACACCACTCATCAAGCCACCCTCTGGTGGCATCCCACATGGAAGAATTAGAATGATTTACAACTAGGATATATAACTATGTACTGGGGCTTTAGGGAGGGGAAAAAAAAAAGAGGAAGATTGGCAACAGATGTTAGCTCAGGGCCAATCTTCCACACACCAAAAAAAGCATATCTTAAAAAAAAAAATTCAAATTAAAAATTCAAATTCGAAGGCACAGCAAAGATAACATTTAGAAGATTCCAGACAAGCCAAAATTCAGAATATATACAAAATGCTATCATGATTGCTCTGTACAAAGGGACTAAACCTGAATCATTCCAATTTTATTGAAGAAATCAGTGCCACACTGATCCTAATACATCAATCTAGGGAAAAAACCTTGAAAAAATCTTAGCATTTGTACAATGAAAACTAGTGTGAGAGTTATCAAGTTCAAAGAAGAGCAAGAATTTGCTAAGCATGATGTGCCAGTCTTCTCACACCTGTAACAGTTCTACGGGTATCTCACTTCCCTGTAATTGTCTGGATTTGAGGAAAAAAGCACCTTCAACATAAATTAAGATGACTAGCTTTTATTACTTTCCATAAGAGGCAAGAGGTTTGGATTCATAATAAGCTTTCCTACTTAAGAAACTGACGCTAATATTCTGATCTTTAGGAATATACCTTCCTAGCCCGTGTATAAGAAGAATAGAACCATTCAACTTGCACATTCTCTGCTTCACTGTCAGATAGCTGATTTACCAAAAATCATTCATTGCACATCCAACTCACTGACTTGAGGAGGAAGTCACAGTTGTTAAAAGCATGAACACTGGAGTCTGACAGGCCCAGGTTCAAATCCCAGAACCGCCACTTATCAGTGGAGTGAACTTTGACTTTGGCCTTATTTTTGTGATCTGTATTAACAGGATGCTATCACTACTTCACAAGGCTGATATAAATGAGGTAGTGTATACAAAGCACTTAGTGATAAGTGGCCCATAAAAAGTATTAGTACAGAACAGCTATCACTGTTATTGCCCTAAAGGGTTATTAGTGTATACGACTTTAGGTGATTTGGGGGACAAGTTCACTGAGGTAGGAAGAGATACTAAGAGTTAAATTAATTTCAGAAGCAAATCCCACGGATGGGCCCAAATAGTAACATTTGTGAGTAAATCACTATCTCCAATTTGCCCACAAGTTCCCAGATATTTCCAAAACAAAATCTCTTGGTGTAAAATGATATTGCAATAGCATATGCATAGTTGGAGACAAAGGCAACCAGATCAATGTTGGTGATCCCTCTTATTTAAAGCTACACCTAACTCTTCCTGGAATAGACACCTCTATTTTGTCCTTTCACCTTTTATTACCTCCCCTCCTTGGTTCCTCCAAGGCAGAGATCATTGAAACCCATATTCCTATGGGGCTCTAAAAGCACATATGAGTGTAAAGGTAAACTTTAGAGCTGGTTACAAAGAAAACTCATTCTCGAAACACACACACCACCCAGAAATTTTCTACCTATTTTTGGAAATGTTAGCAATAGCTACAAGTCAGAGAGATGCACATTAACCTGGACAAGGAAGAGCCCAATAGAATTAAAGTGCATTAGGCAGATCAGATGGTAAATTAATAGGCAATACTGCTCTGGGTCAATGCTATATCTCAGAGATCAATGACCTACTCTGATATGTACATAATTAGGGAAGGAGAAAAGAAAGGTAAAATGGGAAAGGATAGCCAAAAAATAATTAAAGTATTGAACTAAATTAAAAGTTCTACCTATTCATAACATAGGGACATATCCCCATTTTAAGTTTATTTAAAATGTATCTACAAAGTTTATATAGGACAGTCCAATTATTTTCTCCCTTGTCCTATATAGTTAGCCTGCTAAGAAAATATGAAGCTTTTCCAGATTCAGGGAGACAATAACAATAATGATTCCATGTTCTGCATTTAGTGAATATCACAAATCTAAGGAACGAAAATATTACAAAAAATTGTAGTTATCAATGCAAACCATTCCTTCTCTCCATTGCAGATAAAGACAGAGAAAATAGATTATTTTTTTAAAGTGGTCAGTAATTGCCATTGTTGTTGAAGACTGAACTTGTCAGCTAGCAACCAACTCTGAATGGGTTAGGACACAGAACAGAAAATTATCAAAACTGACAATGCTGTCTCAAACCTGTAGTATAGCCATCTAAGGAGATTCCTTGATAACAGAGTTCAAAGCAACAGATTATCCTATTCAAGAGTCTTTGAAAACAGTGGGAGAATTCTGGGAAGTCATCAAGGTGCAAATGATTACAGAAATCAGAACAGATGAAGAATCTAAGATTAAGAAAAAAATATATTCTAGGATTAAACCTTAGAAAGGAAAATAAGAAATAGGGGGGGAAAGGGTACATTCTGAAGAAACAGAAGGTTACCAAGAGCACTAAGAGGACTAAAATTTGAGAAATGAAAATAGAGAAACAAGGTGAGACCAATTAATAGCTAAGTTGAGATAGTAAGAGAGAATAAAAAAGTTGAGAGGCTCTTAATCAAAATGAAGTTGTTTGACTTTCTGGAGGCTTACAAGTGTTCATTATTTAGAATGGTGAAGGAGAAGCAGGAGAGTGGTCTTCTAGGGCAGCAGTCTAACCTACTTCTCAAGATCCCCTTCTTTACCCATAAATCTATTGTATGTAGACCAGGTACATTTTATAATACAGTCATGTATATTAGGAACTCCATTTGGCTCAGCAAAATCCTGAATGCCCTAACACTAAACAAATCTAGCCAACAGATAAGCATACTTAGATATAATGTATCCCAAGCAAAACAAGTTCCAGCTTTTAAAAAACCAACTCCTATTATAATAGTGTCATTCTTAGGAAAAAAGTTGCTCTTAATTGGCAAAATGTTTCCTTATTTAGAATCATGGGCTTTTGATTATAAGTCTAAAACCCTAGAGATTATTTACAGATAAAGGAACTAAGACATAGAAAGGCTAAACCTGCTAAAGATTATAAAGCCAGTTAGTGGTAGAGACTTGCCACAGCTGGGATTCTTGCTTCTGGTGTAGCGCTGTTATGTCCCTGACTTACCACCTCTGTAGCAAGAGCCTCCCGACCCCTTAGGACTAATGGTAATTGAGAAAATTTAACATACAGGAAAAAAAAATCACTATCTTGTCTCCCTAAGGAGAAAATTTGAGAAATTCACAAAAGCAAGAACTTAATTTTGCCTTTTCCTTCAGTGTTCAAAAACAAAGTAGCCTGTAGCTCTAAGTGGGCAGAAGACAAGTGAAAAGCGCTGCATGCTTAAACAAGCTATCACAACAGGTTTGGGTACGGGCTGGTATGGCCCCACCACCATTTTCCTGATGAACTCTCCCACGCTTCATGTCCAACGACTAGAAGGAAGGGCTGAAGTGCCACTCTTTCAAAGGCTGAAATGATGACTGATTTGCCTCCCATTCACCCTAACCTCAGTTAAGAGCAGACAGAGTAGTGCCTTGCCACAAAACGTTAGTGAGACGTAACAGGTACCAACCTCAAGGGCACTGTGGTCAGAAAATGAAGTCAGACCTACAGGTACTCTAGGCCTATGCACAGCTTAGGCTGCAAAGAATTTTAATCATAGAACACTTCTTTTGTGTCTCAAAACTGTATTGCTAATGAGTTCAGCATTCAACCATTCCATAATTCCTTCATGAATGTTAACTTTCTCTCTCTGCTACATCATAAACTCTGTAAAGTTAATGATCATGTCTTTTAGTTTTCGTATTCTATGGTATCTATGTGTTCCATGATATCTATTTATTCTACAGAGTAGATAGATACCAAATATATATGTATTAATTTACTCTCTCAGCAGCTACCCTAAACCACTGAAACCAAAGTAATCATAGGGATGTGAGAAGAGAGATTTTCCAATAAAGACAAAAAACCCAAACAAAGCCAAACCCAAACCACCAGTGCTGTAATTCCAGGACTCCTGCTGTGGCAAAAGCAGCAAGACGTGGAGTTGGGCTTTCCCAAATCACTCTTTGCCCCCAGCTTCACAGATTCTCCTTCAGTATAGATAAATTTGCAGCATGTTAAACTCAAGTGTCTATGTTTTATACAGGAATTTGAAGTTAACGACCAAAATCTCAGCGCAATTACAAATACTTCCCATAAAAAGAACCAAATGGGAATTTCTTATGATAAATAATTTCTCAAAGTTCTCATTAAAAACTTAAGAAAAAGGTAAATAAACCAAACTTCATAGAAAAATTGTATTTACAACTCCATTCAAAAGCAGTTTTTGAAAGCAAACAATATAACACTGAAGTTGAAAAATCTATGCTCACCCAAAGTTGCCAAGTCTAATAAATTAACAGAACAATGCATCAAAAATAAGGCAACAACCCAAGATATTCCATTGATGATTTCTCCATGCCCAAAACTAGGTAGTAATCTATCTTCCACTTCAGCATGTCTGAAATGCTTAAGGACAGAAGTGATAAAACATTATCTTCATTCTTCATTAGACTCTTAGAACACCAGAGAAAATAATTTCAAAGCACAAAGCGGTAAAGAGGTATAATCTTTCAAAAAGATACTCAGTGTTCAAAATTCAAGAATGCAGTATTAATACACAATGCGCATTAGGTGAATATATGCAATAAAAGTGATAGCAAGTTAATTTATTTAGTACTTTTTCCATTCCATATCATCAGGGGGGTTGATTTCAACTTTCCTTTTACCTACATCAGACCAATTGGTACTCAAAACTGTACCACCAGACTCCATCTGCAATAAGAAATAAAAATAGATTAATTCTTAGACCACATAATCAAACAGAATACTTTCTAAAAATGTTTGAAGCATAAAGTCCCAAATATAAGCTATGTTTGGCTCAATATAAACACAAGATAATATTTTGATTTAACCTTAGGCTTTCCAGTTACCATATTCTGTAAAATCTGAAATGGAATCTCTGCAACAGTTAGGTAGGAGCATCTTGTTCACATACACCACAATATAAAAAGCCACGTTCCCCTCTGCTAATCAGCTAGGTAGGTAGAAAAACTACCTTAAAATGAAAACAAAATTGGCTCCCAAAGAAAATAATGACGTAACCTCTTTTGCAGACGACAGTAAAAACCAGGCAAAGTAAACTCTTTCTATACTAGTTGGACAGAACTTTAGGAGCCCTTTCTTAATGCTCTCTCTGTGCCAAACATACTGCAAGTGTATGCTGGAATTTTTTAAAATCAAGGTACAGACAGGTACAGAAAGTCAGCGTCTCAGTAAAGAACTGGTTGTCTATTTATCATCTACTGAATATACCACCTACCAACTACCCTAGCATATTCACAAACACATAAAAAAAACCCCGACTTCTGAACATCTGTGATCTTAATAAAATAAAAATTCACTGGCTTGGATCATAGCAAAGAGCAGTGTGAATAAATCTAAACATTTGTAAATAATCAGCTGTGTTGCTAGCAAACATATAAAGTTACATACCCTAATATAATACTGGAACCTCAATATAACCCCACGCCCCATGCCTGCTGCCAAGCTCCCTTACACGGGTTGCTACATATGGGATGTTCTCTATCCCAGTTCTTTTTCTGTCTTTAGTTATCCTCCAAGCATGACATCTCACCATTTCTCTGTGGTCTTTTTTGACTCTAATCAGGACTCCACTCTTGTAAAATATATCTTCTGTATGAGCATAACTACCATTAATATAAGATGTATCACACTGCACTGTTAAAATTTTAAGAGTCTGCTTTCTTATATCTGCTTCTCATCCTTGGCTCCAACTAAACTTGACATCTCCTAAAAGGGAAGGAGTATATTTTACTAATACTTATATCCTAGATCTAAAGCACAGTGGCCTGGCACAAGGAAGGCTTCAAAGAAAATGTTGAATAAAATGGGACAAGTCTATCTAATAAACTATTAAGAGGACTGAGGGAAGAAGATTTAGTTTATAACCTGATCATAATTCACTGACAACATTTATTTTCCCCTCTCTCTCTATTCACTGCAGAACAATTTAGCATTTCCCTTCTATTATTTTGTACATGTTGGTCTTCTGTACCAATTAGACTGGGAGATCACAGACAACGGTCTATTTTGTTTCTTTTGTATTATCACAAGGAGAGACACAAGCCCTTGGTATGCTCCAGGTCAATGCTGCCAAACAGATGGCTTGTTTTATGGGTGTATATGGTTCAATTACAATTAGCAAAGTCTCTGTATGAAAATGGACGCAGATTCTGTAATCTCTTGTTGAAATTTCACACACTGCTATTTTGTCCAGCATACTCTTCAAAAAGTCAATACTGAGATTGACTTCTGAGGACATGAAGCAGATGTATTTTTTCCTATTCTTCCCACTAAGTACTACTAAAAACCTTAGACATTATATAAATAAAACAAACATAAGATTACTCTAAAAGGTAAAGAGAAGAAGAAACATCATCTAGGGACCTTGGGACCCAAGGAACATCATGGTGGTGAGTTCCCTGTGTTTTCTTTTTGCCTCGTATATGCTAGAGTTGGAGGTGAAAAAGCTGGAAATGCCAAGGGGCACCAACAAAAAAAGCCCCAACAAAAGCCTAATCTCTCTAGCTAAAACTTCAGGAAAGACAGCTTAGGGAGACAGAAAATTTTTAGACAATAATTGCTCTACTCCAGCTAAACACCAGAGAAGAAACTGTGGCCTCATCCCCACCTAGGCCAGCAAAGGCTGAGTGGGGAGCCTAGACTTCCATCCGTGCTAGGCTGTCATGAATCCACCTGCTCTACTACCTGTGATGTCAGTGGAAATCCCGTGGGGAGCCAGAACTCTTAGCCACCCCTAGCAATAACAAGAAGATGCTCTGGGGTGTCTAAGGAGACCAAGTGGGGGTTCTCGATTTTGACCTTCACCTGTCAGTAGTGAGGCATTGCCTTCCCTTCCTCCGCCAGAGTAGTTATCAGAGAAAGTCAACTAAGAAGGAGGGTTTAAATAAGATGCAGAGTCTCACAGCATAACATGAAAATGTCCAGGTTTCAACTGAAAATCACTTGTGCTGGGAAAAGCACCAAAACTCAGGAAGATTTCAGATTATATTTTTATAAAAGAAGACAATCAATAGACACTAACATTGACATGACAGAGATGTTAAAACTATCTGACAAAGATTTTAAAGCAGTCAAGGTAAAAATGCTTCAACAAGAAATTATCAACACGCTTGAAACAAATGAAAAAATAGAAAACCTCAGCAAAGAAACAGAAGATATAAAGAAGAAACAAAGAAAAGTTTCAGAATTGAAAAATACAGTTCAAATAAAAAGGTCAGTGGATGGGCTCAAGAGCAAAACAGAAGGAACAGAGGAAAGAATCAGTGAACTGGAAAAGAAAACAATATAAATCACCTAATCTGAACAACAAAGAGAAAACAGAGATAAAATGAAGCGAGTCGCAGGGATGTGTGGGACTATAATAACATATCTAAACATTTGTGCTGTCACGTTCCAGGAAGGGAGAGCACAAAGAAGGGAGGTCTGAAAAAGTACTCAAAGAAGTAACAGCTGAAAATTTCCCCAATTTAGCAAAAGACAGAAAACTATAGATTGAAGAAACTGAGCAAACCTCAATCTGGATAAATCCAAAGAAATCCTTGCCAGGACAGTTTGTCACAGGCAGATCTAAAAGAAAGCTTAAAGGAAGCTCTCTAAACAAGAAAGAAACAACAAAAAAATAGAAAAAAAATTTTTAAGATCAACAAAGAGCTGATTCTTTGAAAAAACATCAAAACTGACAAACCTCTAGCAAGAATGACAAAGGAAAAAAAGAGAAGACAAACCACCATTATGGAATGAAATGGAATATCACTACAGACTCTGCAGACATCAAAAAAGGTAGTAAGAGAATATTCTCAACACTGACAACTTAGACAAAATGGACCAATTCCTCAAAAATGCAAACTACCACAAGTCAGTCAACATGTAACAGATAAGCTGAATAGTCCTATGAGCTATTAGGATAATTAAACTTATAATTTAAAGTCTTCCCCCAAAAAAATGCTCAGATGGTGTCACTGGTTTAAAGAATGTTTAAAGAAAAATAACACCAATTCTACACAATTTCTTCCCCAAAGCAGATGATGACAGAACACTTCTCAATTCATTTTATGAAGTTAGTATCACCCTGATACCAAAACCAGACAAAGACAATACAAAAAAAGAACACTATAGAGCCAGTCCTGTGGCCTAGCAGTTAAAGTTTGGCATGCCCTGCTTTGGTGGCCCAGGTTCAGTTCCCAGGCACAGAACCACACCACTCGTCTATCAATAGCCATGCTGTGGCAGTGGCTCCCATAGAAGAACTAAAAGCACTTACAACTAGAATATAGAATTATGTACTGGGGCTTTAGGCAGGGGGGAAAAAAGGGAAGACTGGCAACAGATGTTAGCTCAGGGTAAATCTTCTCCAACAAAAAAAAAAAAAGAAAGAACACTATAGACCAGTATCTCTCGTGAATATAGACACAAAATTCAAAGTATCTGAAAATATAATTGAGCACTATATAAAAAGAATTATACACTATGATCAAGTGGGGTTTATCCCAGGGATACAAGGTCGATTCAATAATAGAAATCAACCATATTAATCAAATAAAATCACCATTGTAACAGGCTAAAGAAGAAAAATCATATAATCATATTGATCAATACAGAAAAATCATTTGACAAGTCAACAGCCATTCATAATAAAAATCTTAGAAAAATAAGATTAGAGCAGAACTTTTTTTTTTTGGGTGAGGAAGACTGGCCCTGAGCTAACATCTGTGCGAATCTTCCTCCAGTTTGTATGTGGGATGCTGCCACAACATGGTTTGGTTAGCAGTGTGTAGGTCTGCAGCCAGGATCCAAACCCACGAACCTTGGGCCACGGAGCGAACCCTGAAGCAGAACGCATGAACTTAACCACTACGCCACTGGGCTGGCCCCTAAAGCAGCACTTTCTTAGCTTGGAAAATCTACAAAAATCTACAGCTAATATTATACTTAAGGGTGAAAGACTGAGCGGTTTTCCCGTAAGATGAGGAACAGGGCATGGACGTCCACTCTCATTACTCTTACTCAACATAGTGCTGGAAATTCTAGCCAGCACAATATAGCAAGAAAAGGAGATAAAAGGCATACATATCAGAAAGGAAGAAATAAAACTGTCCCTATTTGAAGATGATATGATTGTCAAGAGAAGCACAAGGAATCTACCAAAAAATTTCCTAGAACTAATGAGTGAGTTCAGCAAGGTCACAGAATATAAGATCAACATTAAAAAAACCAACCGTATTTCTAGATGCTAGCAACGAACATGTGGACACAAAAAGTAAATATACAACACCATTTACAATCACTCAAAAAAAATTTAATTAAATACTGTATGGGATTTATATGCTGAAAATGGTATAACCTTGATGAAAGAATCAGAGATCTAAATAGAGTGAAAGATTCAACACAGTGAAGTCACTCTATACTGATAAAACAGTTCAATACAATTCCTAACAGGATTTTTTGGTACACACAGGCAAAATATTCTAAAATTTATATGGAAAGGCAAAGGAAATAGAATATCTAAAGTAACTTTGAAAATGAAGAATAAAGTAGGAGGAATGAATCTGCCCAATTTCAAGACTAATATAGCTATAGTAATCAAGACTGTGGTATTAACAGAGGGACAGACATGTAGATCAATGGAACAGGAAACCGAGAAATAGACTCACATAAATATGCTTCAACTGATAAAGTAAAAAAAGCAACTCAATGGAGGAAGACAGCCTTTTCAACAAATGGTGCTGGAGCAATTGAACACACATAGGTTAACAAAAAAAAGCCTTCAACCTACATCTCACACTTTACATAAAAATTAACTCAAAATGGATCATAAATTTAAATGTAATATTAAAAGAAAAAACATAGGAGAAAAATCTTTGAGATGTAGGACTAGGCAAATTCTTAGACTTCACACCAAAAGCATGATCCATAAAAAGAAAAACTGATACACTGGACTTCATCAAAATGAAATACTTTGGATCTGCAATATTGTTAAGAAAAGGAAAAGATGAGCCACAGACTGGGAGAAAATATTTGCAAACCACCTGTCTGACAAAGACCTGTCCGATTACTAGTAGCCAGGGCTTAAGGAGGGGTCGGGGCAGGAAGGAAGTGAGTATGGCTATAAAATGACAACACTGAAGGAATCCTGTCACAATGGAAATGTTCTCTATCTTATCTGTCAATATCACGGCTATGATGCTGTACTAAAGTTTTCCAAGATGTTTCCAGAGGGGGAACTCTATAAAAAAAAATACAAGGGATCTCTCTGTATTATTTCTTACAACTGCATATGAACCTATAATTATCTCTAAAAGTGTAGTTAAAAATATTTTTTTAAGTCAATAGTGAAATGTACAATCATAACCCATTACTACATGGTAACTTACATGGAATATCCGGGCCTCAAACATATCTATTAACTAAATATTAAGTTTAACTATTAAATATTAATTTTAACTTTCTACTATAAATATAAATGCCTTAAGAGAGTGACACTCTCAGAACTACTGGTAAAAATCAAATGATTACATCTTTAAGCAGATAATCCACACAATTTTGCAGTAATGACTTGTCATTAAAATTTCAGAACTTGAGGGCTAATTCAGGTGGTATTTATGCTGCTCCGGCGAAAAGCTTGCATTTTCTTAATCAATAGACAAAATTATCAACAAACGAATGAATAATCAATATGCACCTTCTACTTGACAAACACTGTTCTAGAAGTTTCCCTTCTGTATTCTTCATCTCTGACATTAAGACTATACATGGTTCTAGAAGGTAAACAACGGAAGCTCATTCAGCTATTGTGATAAATCCCAACTAATATAACTCTGTAACCTTGGTATTTCTTAAGCCTTCCAAGATCTAACTCATTGATAAAAGATTTTTCTTTGGAATAAACCTCTTGTTTCTCATCTCCTCCACAAGTTTCTAAATTCCTCAATAATTACTCTAAGTTTAGAGCAGGAAGAAATGTTCAGACAAAGCCTATTCAAAAAGGTCTCCCAACTACACTATATGCAATTTGGTCTCAAATTACCTACTTATTGTTATCTTACAATTTCTGAAATTTACTACCACAATGTATTTTTTTAAAGCTCATGTTCTTACAAATGATTTGTTCATGGCACGTTTCACTTCATCAGAACCATCTGAATAGATCTGCTGAAATAATTTGTTTAAAGCTGCATCTCCCTCCAACTTCTCATTCTTTTCTTCTTCTTTGATCTCACCAACCAATTTATCCCAATTTCTTGTATAATGAGATGACGATGGATATAGGTTCTTTACATCTATGGATTAAAAAAAACAGAGGTGATTAACTAATACATGTTGATTATGTCAAGAATAAGTAAACTTTGTGACCATGGTGTATAGAACATCTTAGCAAATAGTTTAGATTGCTGAAATTCATGTTTGTAACGTGCCTTTCTGATACATACATCAATAAGTAGATTTACACTTCTAAAAACTGAATCAGTAAGCATAATGTAAAATCTGGGAACTTCTTACGAGCAAAATAACTCATTAAGTGTAAATTTTTGTAAAAATTACGCAAAATTAGATTAAAAACATTCTACATATTAGCAATCGAGGAAATGGTAAGAAGTATACAAGAACTTTTCTACTTACAGAAACGTTAAAGCAATTCTAAAAACAGTATTTTTTTAAAAGACACTTCATTAAGATATTTCTCTTGTAAACAAGATTTTAATAAATGTTAAAAATGTGGCTTTTTCTGAGGTACTTACATATCTTTCAGAGTAGAAATAAAGTGAAAATATAAATAATTATCCATGACATTTGACAATGAGTTAAGACTATCTTCTCCCCACATTAAAAATATTAGATTACCTCAAAAGGGAATAAGGAATTCCTGAATGTTGAAAAACACAACATGTGATGATCTAGAGTTCAATGACCACATCACACACACACAGAAAATAATAGTACTTGTAGGGCACAGTGAAGTAAACAGAGGCTGCTTGCAGCCAGAGAGGCCACAGGCTCAGGGGCTCAGGGGACTGAGAAGACTGCCCCCAAAACCAAAGGAATTAAGATCTTGCCACCTAAAAAGTAAAAAAGTACCTAACCTACCTAGTAGCTATAAGAGCAGTTCTGTTCACTGTCTAATGGAAATATACCTTGAACCACATATATAATTTAAAATTTTCTAGTAGCCACATTACTAAAACAAATCAGGTGAAATACAGTTTAATATATTTTATTTAACATAATATATCCCAAAATAGTATCATTTCAACATGAAATCTGTATAAAAATACTAAGAAATTTTATGTTCTTTTTTCATACTAAATCTTCAAAATCTGGTATGTATATATTTTACACTTACAGCACATCTCAATCCAGACTACTCATATTTCAAGGTGCTCAACAGGTATATGTGGCTAGTGGCTAACATACTGGACAATGTAGCTATAGAGCTTAAAAAAAAAAAAAAAACTTGATTCAAAGCTTCCCTATCAATATTTTAGGATACATGAATCCTAATCCAAATGTCCCTTTTCCACTACTACCTCTCTATATCCCTTTTCTCAAAATAGTTGAGAAACTACTAATTGTTCATTCTGTCTTTCCATCTCCTCTCTTCACCTGTAATCCAACCTTCTCCGTCTATACCCCACAAAACAAAACACTGCCCTCCCCCCAGTTTTACTCAGGGCAAGCATACTGGTTTTCAAGTCCTATCTACCCTTCCTCTACCAGTAATCCCCTCTATCTCTGCACATTTTCACCAGCAGCCAAAGAAAAGAAAACGCAAATTAAGAGCCTAGGAAACAGGGTTTAATTAATCCTAATGCTGATTCCCCAGAAGGATGAGAACACAGGTTCTAATCTCCATTTTACAGATAAGAGACCTGGCCCAGACAGGTTAAGCAACTTGCCCTTATCTGCAGTCTCCAGCTTGCAATACATAGGAATGTGACAAGCATATTAATTCCTTACAAAAATATAACAAAACAGGAGGAATAGCATCTTGAATATCCAAAGCACTGAGTTTAGAAAAACTTTAACACTAAAAAAATCTTTATATTTAATCTTAGAAAAACTTTAACACCATGTAGATGGCAGATGAACTACTGAGAGATGGGTAACCCAACTTTCTTGCTCATTCACTACAGTATCAATTAACTACAAAGATACTTATGTCAGCCGAGACCTTGCATTGTTAGAAAATGTGGCAATAAGCAGTATCACATATGGGATTAACAGAAGAACCAGACCCAGACTCTGAAGACTTGGGTTCAGTCCTAGAGAATGAAAACTGCTGGGTGATCTATTATTAAGCAAGTTGCTTAACCCTTCTGAGCCTGTAAAACAGGAAGAACAATACTGGGCTGCCTACAATATAGTGCTGTTAGAATTAAATGAGACGCTACATTTTAAGTGTTTCTTTAAAAAAAAATGCTTTGAGCTATATATAAACCTCAGCCCAAAAATCTCTTTAGGGGGTCAGCCACAAGAAAAGCACATAACATCTCTACTACATCTTTCAAACAAAGTGAAGCAGAAGCTTAATTAAATAGCTTAAATATCAACTTGAAATATTCCAATCCTTAAAAATTATCTGTTGGTGTCAATGTCCTGGTTTTGCTAAGTATGCTATAGGCTAATTACGATGTTATTTTGCAGAAAAGCTGGGTGAAGGGTACATGAGAACTCATTTCTCCAACTTCTATGAAAACCTAAAATTATTTCAAAATAAAAATAAGCTAATAAAAATCAACGATCTGTTGGCTAATTCCGTTATCTTCTAAAAGGTGCCACAAGGAAATATATTTTCTGTTATAGAAAGCAGTGAAAAATCTAAAGTAGCTGAAACAATGCTATCTCATTTCAGTCATCCAATCACGGCATTAACTCTAATCAAAGAGAAATTTCTCTCCATTCATTAATGAGGACATTGCCGTAAAATACAGTCTTAGTTGTACTTCTAGGAGTGTCTTGCAGATTAATTATCCTGTTAGAAAAATACATATGTGCCTACTGCATATGCTTACAATTGAGCCAACATAAAGTAGCCTGTTCCTTAAAGGGTTAAATTAGCGTACAGCAGCTCTATCACCCAGGTTTGGGTAAGTGCACACTATGATGTTCGCACAACAACGAAATCACCTAATGACACATTTCTCAGAATGTATCCCTGTCGTTATGTGAAGCATGGCTGTATAGTGAAATACGCTAGATACTTTATGAAGCCCTCAAATTTCAGGAAATTGAGTTGACAATATCAGAAGAAATAGAAAGGAATAAGTAAGAGAGGACAGGGAAGAGGAGGAAATATGTAAGCAGAGTAAACTACTAATTCACTTAAAACCCAAAAAGAAACAACAGGAAAGGTCAACACAAAAAAACAAGCAACCCCTAACTGATGTCAGAAACTGACATAGTAAACAAATCCCAACTCCCTTTGGGCTTTTGGTGCCACTCATTGTATTCTTAGAGTTTAAGAAGTTAGAACCTTCATAAGAAAGGCTTCTTTGTATTCATTACAGAGCAATCTTATTATACTCAATGTATGTTATCTCAGGAACATGAATAATGAAAGTAGAAAGAGTGCTCATTACTATTTAATTTCAACCATATAACACAATATGAATTTAAGGTTCATCAAGTCCAGAAAACAAACCTGCTATGAACTGTTTTGGCTTAGGCACATCTCCTTGCCCCTCTAGCTTTTCCCATCTTATAGCCTCTGGCTTTTTCATTTTAATTTCAATCTGGAGAAAACATGAGATAAAATCCATTATTCAATGTAAAATACACAAAACAGTGAAAAAATGCAATTTTTCAAGTTTAAGTCATCAAAGTTTTATAATAGTGTCCTTGAGATAGTTTCCTTAAGTTATCCAAGGTTAAATTTTAACAACTTTGAAACATTTATTTTGTTTCTACTTAAAAGCCAGCCTTCAAAAACAACATACAAATTGAAGAGTCTTGAAATCCACTCTTTTCTTCTTCTAAAGTAGTGTTCTCAATCTGGGTTGATTTGTCTGGAGACATTGTTGATATCACGCCTGGGGTGGAGGTGAGGGTGCTATTGACATCTAGTGAGGAGAGGCTAGGGTGCCACTAAACATCAACATTCAGGGCAACCCCTCCACAACAAAAGAATTATCCAGCCCAAAATGTCAACAGCAGCACTCACCACTGAGAAGCCTGTTCTAAAGGAATTACTACATTTCGATGTACATTACTAACCTTATAGAGTGGAGAAATTCATTCCATTGTATAAAATGAGTCCAAGTAATGCTAACATTTTTACAATTGATCATTCAATAATTATTTATTTTTTTATTGAGTTATTGATAGGTTACAATCTTGTGAAATTTCAATTGTACATTAATGTTTATCAGTCATGTTGTGGGTGCACCACTTCACCCTTTGTGTCCACCCCCCACCCTACCTTTCCCCTGGTATCCACTAAACTGTTCTTAGTCCATAATTTTAAATTCCTCATGAGTGGAGTCATACACAGATTATCTTTCTCTCGCTGGCTTATTTCACTTAACATAATTCTCTCAAGGTCCATCCATGTTATTGCAAATGGAACGATTGTGTTCTGTTTTGCAGCTGAGTAGTATTCCATTGTATATACGTACCACATCTTCTTTATCCATTCGTCTGTTGCTGGACACTTAGGTTGCTTCCACGTCTTGGCTACTGTAAACAGTGCTGCAATAAACATTGGGGTGCACAGGACTTTTGGGATTGCTGACTTCAAGCTCTTTGGATAAATACCCCGTAGTGGGATGGCTGGATCGTATGGTAGTTCTATTTTTAATTTTTTGAGGAATCGCCATACTGTTTTCCATAGTGGCTGCACCAGTTTGCATTCCCACCAGCAGTGTAGATCATTCAATAATTATTAAACACGCATTATGAGCAAGGTATAGTCTTCAGGGATGTGGGGGATTTTTAAAATATTAAAGACATGTCCTTGACCATTTGGAAACATGTGAGATACTTGGAGAAAGTTACTCAAGAGGCAAATAAATGTTCTAAAAGCTCAGGAGAGGTCACAGCTGGCTGTGAACAGGGAACGTTTCAGGGCACCTCGAAGAGCTGTGAGGGGTAGGAGCATTTGCAATGGTGGAGGCGGGTAGGTCTCCAGAAGCAAACAGAAGAGCCTAAAATTGGAGCCCTGAGGTGTGAAAGGACACAGTGCATCAGGGAGTACAGAGGAGACTAATTTGCTGCAAGTCCAGGACTTATGTTAGAGCAGTGAAAAATACACAAGGAAAAAAAGGTGTAAGCAGACTATGAAGAGCTTCTGAATGTGAACCTAAGGTCACATATTAAAATGAAGTATTAGCAGCATCCTAGAAACATCTCTCTAATCAAGGCTCGTCCCCTAGAGTCTACCCTTAACCCTAACATAAGCTCACATAGCACTTAGATCTACCTTTTGTTTTCCTTATTCCAATAATGCACTCACTCCCGTTTCTAGCCTGGCAGAAATCAGCATTTATAGTGCTGGTAAACACAGTAATTATTATGCAAATAGTTTAAGAATCAAATTAGAATTTTATATTCTAATTTTTTTTCTAAGAAAAGGATTATTACTTGTATAAGCAGGAAAAAAAGATTTAACAAAAAGAAAAGCCTATTTACATCTTGGTTCTTTGACTCCTTTAGATCAGAAGAATCATTTAAATTAGCAATTACTGGTAATCTTTCTACCGCCTGCCTTTATCAAGAGAATCCTTAAAATTTGCATTTTAAAATAACAAAATACTAACAGAGAAATCTGCCAATATTTTTAATCAGACATGAAGGGATGGTGTGGAAGGGGTGTGGTCTCTTAGTATTTGTATTTTCTTTAGGAGCAGTGAAACGTAACAAAAAAAGTTGTCATAATGAGAGAAAAACATGAAACAAACGTGCCTGGGAAATGTGCAAAAAGATAAGTATTTTAAATGCAATTTACATGTTTAAATTCTACATAAATAAAAAAATTTTATAAGACTCTCTAGAATTCCCTAAAATGAACTATGATTAATCTTTATAAAGTAAAATATCATTTGTATTTTCTCATACACAATATTAACTGAGGGTACTCTGGTTATCTTAAGCTGTCACTGCTGGAATATTTACCAAAAAGGTACATAAGGGCTGGCCCAGCGGCACAGTGCTTAAGTTTGCATGCTCTGCTTCAGCAGCCTGGGGTTCATGGGTTCAGATCCCAGGCACAGACATATCCACTTCTCATCAAGCCATGCTGTGGTGGTGTCCCACATACAAAACAGAAGAAGATTGGCACAGATTTTAGCTCAGGGACAATCTTCCTCACCAAAAAAGAAAAAGTACATAAATCCAATAGCTGGCAATGACACAGCAATAGTTACTGAAAGGGGCTATTAATATTATCCTAAAATTTAAAATTGCATCTTCCTCCTCTAATTTTCAGTTCATTTGGAAATGAAGACCTGGCAAGCAGTATGTAACATCAACACTACCCTTAACTAACCTCAGGCACAGGGCACTCCATATCCGCACCACACGTTCCCATGCTAAGTACTGTCTATAAAAAGTTCCTTGTTTCACCTGAAGAGCAGCACACAGGAGCACTTGCATCTACTGAAAGCCTCAGTATATACATAACCTGAGTAACTGCATTATGAACAAGGAGGCCTTTAGAAAGCCCAAGTTAAAGCTCTTAGTAACAACTTGTTTCCACTGAGACATGCTGAACTGAACTTGAAATTATACTTAATTCATTCATTAAAATAGCTGCACATAACAGACCATTTTAAACAGTTTTTAAAAAGGTAAGAAGAGGGGGAACTAATTCTCTATGAATTCCTTTTTACACGTACTTCACTTTCAATACGTGTACATCCTTCTAAAAAGGAAGTCTTAAATCTTGATGATTTTGGTAGATACTTCTCAAATTACCACCAGTCCAATTTCAGCTATTTTTATTGCGACCATGAATAAGTCATTAAATTAACTTAAAACTTTGCTAGCTTGCTTAAAGGTTGCTCTTATATGCACAGGAAAGGCTTTCAATGCACCATAATCCCAAAGCAGTATCTGCGAGTGACTACTAAGGATCCATACTGTGCTGGATTTTCAGTCTTCAATGTTATGGGTCCTACCCACCAGCCACCTCTATGGTCTTCTTTGCACAGCAGAGAGTTATTTTTCCCATGAAAGTAACTTTAGACTTAAAGAGAAGCCATTACTCCTAAAGGGTCATGGCATAAAGACACCGTCTTCTTAAGAAGTGGTAAGCAAGCTCCCACTTACTGCTACAGATTGATGGTGAGGGATCTTTGTCCCAGAGACTAGAGAGCTGTGCAGTTTACTGGTAACGTTTTTTTTCTGGCAAACTTTTCAGAATCATCTGTTTTAAGGCGACAGTCATTAAATAAGGGTTCCTCGGATCTTTAGAATGTAGCTTTCCCAACGTTGTCTTACTCAGCTTTGAGCATGTTTAATTGCTATATCAAACCCCTGTGCTCAATAATACAGCAGTTCAGTCTTCCTGAGGCCAGACTGCACAGCTACCTTCTTTATTTTTACACTCAAATCACTTTAAAATCATTTTTTAAAATGCAGAAGATGGTAATGAATGAAGAGGAACTGAAAAATCTTGCCAAAGCTCTAATAGCTCAATTCAAATACCCACCGAGTGCCTACTCTGAGCCAGGCACTGCACTGGTTCATACGGCCACTGCCTCTATGCTTCTTGAAGAAATCAATTAGAAGTGACAGTCCCATAAACAAAAGATTCTAGTATATATCACCTGTACTGACAGACCTAAGTGTTGGGAAATATCTAGTTATGCGGAAGGAACTACGCCAAAAAGTCATTCACTAGTGAAGACTGAGTGATTACTTTCTCAGCTCCTTTATATTTCTCCAAATTTTCTATGACACACATTTATTGCTTTTATAATCTGAATAAAAATCTAAATAATCAGGATAAAGTACTACTAATAATAGTAAGATTGAGAATTTATTACATTCCCCATGTACTAAGTGCTTCATATATTATCTCAGTTAATAAAACAACTCTGTAAGAGGAGATTACCATCCATATCTTAGAGATGAGGGAGCCAAGAGATAGAATACCTTGCTGGAAGTGTCTTTTACTGCCAGAAGTTTTACTTATTTTATATCCTCAGAAATAAGCAGAGGTTGAGAACAAGACAAAAACAATCAGCTGTGTAATTTTAGAAAGAGAAGAGTCACAAACAGGTGCCACTTACTGGATATATGACCACAAGCAAGTAATTAATCTCACTGAGCCTCAGTTTCTCCTTGTAAAATGGGATTAATAAGACCTATCTCATTTAGGGCTCTTATGAGGATTAAATGAGACCACATATGAAAAGAATATAGCATTGCGTCTGGCACATAACAACTGAATGTTAGTATAAATCCCATCATCATCATCATTATAATTAGCTAAAAACTCTGGGCAAATTATTTAACATCTCTGGGTTCAGTTTCCATACCTGTGAATAGGTGGTAAAAATATTTACATCCTGCAGTAATTGTGAAGATTACATGGGATAATACACAGAAGTCAAAACAGTTACCTACTATAATTCTCCACAGGTCAAACAACATGGGACTGTGGGAATAAGCTCCAGTAAATGTATACAATGAAATACTTCGCTGTAGAATATTTAAGGGCATGGAAAATACTCATAACATATGGCTAAGTTTAAAAAAACAGCTACAGGTAGGATGTACAGTAAAATCCTTTTCTTTTGAAAATATATGAATATACTTTAACAGAAAAGGCGACAAGAATATACTCCAAGATCTATAATTTGTGGATATCAGCAACTAATTAGCTATTTAAAAAAAACCTCAACGGCTGGCCCCATGGCCCAGTGGTTAAATCCGAGTGGCCCAGGGTTTCGCCAGTTTAGATCCTGGGTGTGGACACAGCACCGCTCATCAAGCCGTGCTGAGGCAGCATCCCACATAGTACAACCAGAAGGACCTACAACTAGAATATACTACTATGTACTGAGGGGCTTTGGGGAGGAGAAGGAAAAAAAAAAAAATTGGCACATGTTAGCTCAGGTGCCCATCACAAAAAACCTCAAAAAACGTATTACCACCACCATTGTATCAAAAAGACATAATGAAACAAGAACCCAAACCCCCCCCCCATCTGTGTTTAAAACAACAGCAGCATCCTGCCCAGACACCTCCACTCCATTATAGCATCACTGTGCTTCTTCTATGAATATTAAGAATTCTAAAACTTCTCAAACTTTAGTGGGTTAAGAAGGGAGAAGGGGCCCATTTGTCTCTAAGTAAAGACAGACATTTTTATTTCCCATGGTTCCAATTAAAAGCTTTCATATTTTATATTGAATAATATGGAAAAATTACTTTGACTAAAAATAGGAATACAAGAATATTTCTACAAGGGTAAACTTACTCCAAAGGATTCTGAGAATTCCAATTTTTACCTGGAGTGAATATTAATCTTTAAAATGAGTATTTTGCAGCACAGTTGTTATTAAAGTTATTTATAATCCTGATTGTGACCAGAGAACACTGTCATGAAATTTAACAAGATGGAACAAGAGAAACATTACAATTTCTTAATAAAGGAAATGGATTAAGGCAGATATGAAAGCTGGTATTCAGTAAAAGGAAAAAACAACTATCGAGGGTACTGAAAAAATATGAATTCTGACTTGGGAAAACATATTAGATATTACACTGTAAAATATTTAGTTAAGAAATGCTATTTCAATCATTTAAGGGTCCTCCTCTTCTTATTTTCATTGGAAATTATATCCCACTTGAATTAACAATACTTAACCAATGGTTATACATGAATATGTAACATTCGTTCAACCTTGAAGGTGGGAAAGAAAACAGGATTCTCAAAAGCAAAGAACTAGCCCTTTCAAACCACAGATTTTACAGAATCTCTAATTTTAAGCAGATTCTCCTAGGCAAAATGCATCCTTTTCTCAATCCACTTAAAGGATTCAAGACATCTGAATACATAGGAAAATCAAATTACTTCACTGTTTTCCTGTGTCATCACTAAATAAGCCTCAGTAACCCAGAGAAAGATTTTATTTTCAATATTTTAACACTGTCTCCCTTTGTTGTATGAAAAAAGATTCAAAACTTTCATCATTTCCCTTAACATATAATTAAAGTACAATTCTTTCCATTTGTTTCCCATAAAATTACAGCTTAAAAATTGGTAGTCTAACGAAGTAATATATATTAATTTGGGTTAGGACAAGAAAAATAATCGTCCTTCAGAATGCATCCTTAAAATCTATTCTTTAATCCAGAACTTAGAAAAAACTAAGCAAAGCAGCACTAGCTTCACAGAAGTAAAAGTATTCCTCCTGGGTCAGAGTGAACAATTTAGTAACTATGTGAACCTGGGGAAAGCACTGAAAATGCATGAACCTCAGTTTCTTTTCACCCGTAAAACTAAGAATGAAAATACTTATTTTGCCAACTTCATAGGACTAACATCAGAATCCAATTTAAGTTCATTCACTGAACAATTACTGACCACCCACTATGTACAGTGTACAGGGCTAGGGTGGTCAAATTTTTACTAAAAAATTATTCACTGTTTGTAAAGTTAACCGGGTGTCTGGTACTTTATCTGGAAACTCTACCTGGAGCATATACAAAGACACAAACATGACATGCTTGTTATCCTCAAAAGACTTACTAAGAGCAAGGGAAATAAAACATACATATAAACAAACTACTATTCAAGAAAAGCAGTTATGTAGCATTTTAAGAAAGGAGAAAAGATGAAAAAGGCGTATCGAGAACACAGTAAGAGGAGCTGGGGAATAATTACAATCAACAAGCACTCACAAGGTTCAAAGGAGAATAACAAATAAGGATGAGAGTGCTTAGTTACATCCTCAATTCTAGCCACACAGACTTGTGTATTTACTGCACATATTACTCTTTGGTAAGTGTACGGGGCGGCTCAGTAACACAAGGTTTTAAGTCATTTACCATCTATTCACACAAATCAGTTTACATTTAAATTACTTCAAAAGGACATGCAGTAACAACATCTTGATATATACAAAAATGCCAAACTCCTAATAGTCTCCGTCCCAAATCTAGCTATAGTTTTGTGCTTCATTACTTTACCCAAGATTATTTTATTAAATAAATTCTACACTGTATGTATGAGGCCAGTAAGACAAAAATCTTGATAAGATTTCATCCCTTTTCCCACTTTCTATCATCCAAGCAACTCTGTTTCCCATCTCTCCCTCATAAGTAAACACCTTTTACTTTGTAATCTTCAAATAAACAGATCATTTTTAACTAGATGCAAAAACTACTGCTTCTTTACTTTGCACTTCCTACTCCCACCCTCTGCAGATATATCCTTTTCTTTCAGCAGGCCCAGTTACCATTCTTCATGACACAGATCGACCCTGATTCTATTCTATGACAGGAAAATTCACATGTCCTTAAAACTTAAACTCAATAGTTAATAAGATATGTTGCAGGACACATGTATAAAAAAAGCGTAGTATTGGAAAAAGTCTACTTATATCATTCATTCTCATTAAGTCATCATATACCTTCCCACAACTTTACAGATGAAGGATTTCAGAGCTCAAAGTCCATATCCCTAATTTTTATAGATGCAAAAAATTTAGTCCTATAATAATTTTGTGACTAGTCTATAAATTCACAGGGCAAGCAAAGAACTAGATGTCAGATTTTTTTGATTTTCAGTTCAGTATCTTTCCTACTAAATTATACTACTACCAACTACATCTTTTGATATTTAAAATATTCCCTGAATTTGAATTATATTGCATATTTTTTACTTCTTGAAAATATAAAGAATCTAAAAATTACATAGTTACTCAAACTACAATTATTCACTAGCCCCCCACGACAAACTAAAATTCAGCTTACCTAAAACACACAACAAAAAAAGAGCAGATTCATCTTTAAAGTAGTTTGTATCCTTAAATGTGTAAGATAGGGTGAAAAAGTATTTGTATATCAAAACAGGCCAGAGAGACAAGTTCAAGAAACAAGACACTGTCAGTATCAAATCTTAGAGATGCTGATTATATCTTTTTTGGAAACCTCTTTATTGAGAAGTATTATACGTATCTTAATAAGCGTCCAAACGCTACTGAGGTTAAGTAGACTTTTACACTCCACTGTCCTAGAATTGTGGGAGGGGGAAAAATTGTTACTCAAAAACTATCGTTCTTATTTACCTCTCCCTTTTAATTTAAACATACGTGGCTGAAAGGATCTATAGACTTATAATCACATAGGTGATTAGTGGACCAATGTTTGATTTTGAAAAGATTGCTACTGACAATCCTTCTCAATTGTCCTACCTTTGTTGAAAGTACTTTAAACGTGCTCTGTTCTGGTATTACAGGATGAAGAAGTCTCAGCTTCAAATTGTAATCCTCTCCAGAAGGAAGTTTCACTGAAGCAGATAACTAATGAAAACAAAATTAGCAGTGCATTTCATAAGTTTATTTAATGAAGGGTAAAATACTTAAACTGAATATAATTACAGAATTTCAATATTGCTGCAGATTATTTTAAACACTTTATATGGAATATCAGATTTAAGAACCTCAAAATAACCCTTTTTTTCCATCTGGTATCCTTCACATGAATTCTCATATACATAATTAAACAGCACAAAAGAGTGTATTTCATAACACATATTTAGTATTTAAATCTCAAGGAGACTCAAGACACAAGAGTAAAATGATACAATATGTAACAAAAGAATTCATGTGTAAAAGGTCTAGTTCTACCACGAACTCTCCTAAATATCTATCACAAGATTTTCTAAGTGCTAAGATACAAAGCTATTAAAAGTCACATTCATTTAATACAGTTAGTAAAATCTAAGATGTATAAATCATACAACAAATAAGTAGACCTTTTCACGAAGTATACTGCATAAATGAAATCAAATCACATTATCTTTTTTTTTTTGGCGAGGAAGACTGTCCCTGAGCTTAACATCTGCTACCAATCCTTCCCTTTTTGCTTGAGAAAGATGATCCCTGAGCTAACATCCATGCCAATCTTCCTCCATTTCCTATGTGGGACACCTCCATAGCATGGTTTGATGAGTGGTATGTAGGTCCGCACCTGGGATCCGAACCCACAAACCCTGGGCTGCCGAAGCAGAGTGTGCAAACTTAACCACTATGCAACTGGGCTGAGCCCAAATCACATATCTTACTAATGGTCTTATATATTTCTCAATTAAGTTCTGCTTTGAATTCTAAATCTAAAGAAAATAATGCACATCTAGTTATAATCTACAGTATACATATACTCATCTCAAAACTTAAAATGATTCCAATGGAAAAGGAATAGCTTCAGATTTTTATCAGCATTTTCTACATTATCTCAGGAAGAAATGACATATATCTGATAAACTGCTACAGATTATTCTGCAATATACTGTATTTATAAATAAAAGTATTTAATCTCAACATAAAAAATGGTTCAAAGGCTATAATGACCTCTTTTTCTGAAAATTCCACATTTACATCATTCTTCTGAACATTCTTGATCATAAGTGTAATGATTACTTGAGATTCTGTTTGATACCAGTCATACCTATTAAAAAAGAAAAAAGAAACTTAAAACAGAACTTCCAATTTTCTTAGTTATTGCTTTGTTTTGATAAGATAAAAACTACAATTTGATAAACAGTAAGAGCTCCACCTTGAGGAACAAAATAGCAAAGCAGTGCTGGTTCATAGAAACAATTTTATATAACTAATTTCCCATGATCTGTACTAATGGAAGAGAACAGTAAGGTAGATGATGCCCCAAACCTTTCCAGTGGATTTAAATACTTACATGATTTTCTGGGTTCTGACTTACATCTCTAATACTGCTGAGCTTAAGCTAATGTTAAAGATAAGATTTACTCTAAATAGCTAACAGTTATTATACACCATCAATAGTTTTATACTCATTTCAATCTAATACCAAGAAGAGGTAAACACTTCCATCCCTATTTTACAGATGAAAGAATGTAAGTTCAGAAGGGTGAAGCAATCAGCCCTTCAGTGATAGGTGTTACACTGGACCCAGGTCAGCTTGACTCCACACTCCATGATCTCTCAACTGAAGTTGGGGACAAAAAGCCCTGAGAATAGGGGGCAGAAGTAAATGAGCTGAAATTAAAATAATTCAAAGTTCAACTCATTCTGCCAGGCACGTTAAATACAATATTTTTCTTCAATCCCAATGTGTGTGGGAAGATTCGTGTCCCTAGAGATTCTAATTACGTGTCTGTCTCACACTGAAAGCTCTAAAAATGTAGGGACCCTCACCTTAAAATTAGACCACATTATAAACTCCATGAGGGCAAAGTGATTTATCTATCCTATCACTATTACACTCCCAGGACTAAGCACAGCTCTTGGTACACAGTGTACTTACTAAATCAATGTTGGATTATTTTTTGCTCCAAACACCATAATTATTATTTGATATTTATGTGCCCTCTCCCTGCTGCTGCCACCAAGCTAGTCAAAGTTCCTGTGACTACTAGGTACTTGGAGAGTCCTCTTGTATCTCCCCAGAAAGAACACGAATAAATTGCTTTGTTTTAACATTTCCAAGGCATTTTAGGTAATTGTGTCCAAAAGCACCTTGATTAAAGAAATAAACTTTAAGAGTCCCACAGTTTCTCTTTAAAATTCAGTGAGAAAGCAAAGCTCGATGCCTTATGCTTCCTTCTGTTTCAGTCCTAAGAATACATGTAGTACACATGGCTAATAAATAATTAAAAATAAATTCAAATATTTGCTAGCTGCTTAATCATTACTGTAATCGCTGCCCTCAGCATTGGTCACTTTCAACTTACACAGAATTATTTTATGAAAAATTTACTCCAAGTATAAAAGGCAGGTAAAATTACACTTCTCTCGAGCCTACTATTAATTTATTTACCTATATAATAACAACTAGACTGGAAGACACTCTCCTTAATATATGGAAAGGCGACATAATATGGAATTACGTGAAACAAGCTTAAAGTTGAGAAGTAATTTGAATTTAACCTTAATATGAACACTAATACTAATCAGTAAACAGCCTTAGAATTAGTTTTTCAAGGCTATAACATGATTTTTAAAAAAATTTAAATCAAAGGTAAGGATCTGCTTACTTTTTTTTTTTTTTTTTTATAATTTTTTATTTTTATTTTTTATTTTTTTTCCCAAAGCCCCCCAGTACATAGTTGTGTATTCTTTGTTGTGGGTTCTTCTAGTTGCGGCATGTGGGACGCTGCCTCAGCGTGGTTTGATGAGCAGTGCCATGTCCGTGCCCAGGATTCGAACCAATGAAACACTGGGCCACTTGCAGCGGAGCGCACGAACTTAACCACTCGGCCACGGGGCCAGCCCCCTGCTTACTTTCCAATGACAGGGTCTTTTTCCCTTTAAGCATATTCATCATGCATTATAAAAAAGAAACACTTACTTAATTTTTGACTGATGAGTCCGCTGGGATGCAGACTAATTTTCCCAGGTTGAAAGAGAAAGATTTTTACAAGTTAGTTTAGCAATTCTATATTTAAACGTATTATTAACTTACCCAGTGTTATAGTTACTTTGATACAGAATAACTACATGAAAATATCCTTCAAAGACAAAGCATGGTATCCATAACTGTTAAATAATACTAGTCCTCACAAAAATTAGAATATTCAGCATTTTTATAATTGAGTTTCAATTTCAAAAAAGATTTTTCTTCTAAAATAAAAGCAGCATAAACCCCAGAAAACTTTCTAAAGGTATGACTGGAAAAGGTTACATATAAAATGTTCAGTTCCAACATGCAATAACTCTCTAAAATGAAAATAACAGTAGCATTTAAAAAAACATTTTTAAGAATATAGTATAATCTTCAGGCTTAACAATGGCATGACACTGCTCTAGAACATATGAAGGAACATGGCCCCTCTGCGACAAACATTCTACACTGCCCATCAAGAAACAAAGTGACTCCTGACCAATCCATAGTTTCCTAAACTACATGTGTGCCAGTTAAGACTGTAAATAAGTAAATCTAAAGAACTCGCCCTGGCTCTCAGGTGGCCTCTAAGTTGTCCCTAAATGAGAAGGAAAGAGATGAAGTTTGGAAGAAAATAAGTAAAATCACTTTAGAGATCTGAGCCTAACTCAGAATCACTCTCTAGTGTTAAGTATTGAGAAATACTTAAATCTACATGATATCAAGTGGAGACACCGACTAGAACAGATTTTTCCAGCTCACTTTGGTAGCAAGATAAAACTAGATTGAACTACAGCAGTGACAAAACGCACTGTCACAAAACAGCTGTTTGTGTTACCAGACAAAGTCCCTGTTATCCAAATGCCATTCTGTTGTCTTCAGGCCTAGTCTCAATCCCAAATATTATAAAACCCAGACAAAAATACCAGCAGGTGAAGGAAGCCAACTTTTAAACACCTCCTCCAATCCATTCCCCCCCACCAGCCCTAGGAATAGGGACAAGCCTGGAGGTAGAGGGATAGCGAAACGGGGCTCACTTGAGGCAACGTTCAAACCCCAGTAACTACATATATACATGTCTTGCCTGAAGCTCACAACCACCTGCCTGAAGTAGATTAGCTCTATTAGGCCCTGTGTACACATGAAGAAAGCTCAGAGAATAACTGACTTTTTCAACGTCAGGATGGAACTCTGGAAGACAGAGATGTAAATCTTCCTTTATAGATGAAGCAGAGACTCAAAAACGTTAAGTAATTGCCCATAAAGAGAGTTAGGCTTACACATACATCTCCTGATCCCCTGTCATTTTATTTCCTGACTAACTATGTAGATGACTGCTGCTAAAAGCCATTAGCCATAATTTAACTGTGTGTTGTATGTAAACCTAAGTTGGTTTAAAAAAAAAACTCAATTTTCAACTCCACCGTAATTTTTAATAACTGAAAAGACTTGAAAATCTTCATGTCCAAAACAAGTACAACACTGAATTACAGAGAGATAAACACTTCCAAATTTTAGTTAACCTTGGTGTCTTAGCACACCGTAAGCCCTGCAAGTGCTTCACACCTAATGTTATGACTTTTCACCAAAGAAATAATCATCCTGACCATACTAAATACATAAGTCAACTCGAATCACACTCAATGCATTACAATAGCCCAATAAGTTTCATGACTATAAGTGTCTGTATTTATTTTACCAAAAAATAACAGTATTTCAGTTGCTGGAGGAACAAGTAGTTAAATGGAATTGCTTAATATTTAACTGAGAGAAACCTTATTCTGTATTCTGGCTTAAGTATATTTCGGAATAATATAATTAAGTAAAAACATGAAGGATACAAACTCTGGACTTACCACTTCGGACTGTGATCCTATTAAAAAAATAGAAAATATTTTCAGAAAACACTACATTTATAGGCAAAGTTATATACACAATTTCCATAGCACAAATGTACTGATTAAGCAAAGCAATTCTCCATACATTCCTAATAAAGGAAAGTGGTTTAATTCTGCACCCTGGAGTCACTTTAGACTCCTTGAAATTTCTTACCAGTAATACCAATGCAAAACAAATCCAACCTGGTCAACATACACTAGGCAAAAATCAGAATGCCTTTGGAAATCCCTATCTAAGGGAACATGTACTACTTCAATTATAATTTATAAAGTTAAAAACAAATGTGTTTAAATCAAAAGATGTCAAATGTTTACTTCTTTTTAAATTGAAAGACCATGGGAAGCCTGTATGCTTACCATTCTGAGCTTCTTGACACCTTTTAATCCAGACAATGAAATCAGCATCTGCATCTAAAAGAACAAAATGACTGTAACATCACTCATCTGCACAATTAACACATTCATTCAAAAAATAATTACTAAACACCTACTATGTTCCAAACACCGTTCTAGGCACTGGCGATTCAGCAGTGAATTAAATAGACAAAAATACCTGTCCTAACAGAGCTTAGAGCCATCCTAATGTTATAGCTATTAATATATGAATAGGTTTAACATGTAGTTGTTCATTCTGAAGAATTTTGATTTAAAAAAAACATTAGTTTTAACCAGTTAACCTTACTGGTTCCCAGATGCACATAAATCTGCATTTCCCCTCACCTCTCTCCTCTTAAAGGAGCTTCCTCCTCATACAACAAGATCAGACTTGAATTTGATTCTCAATGTTATCAGTTAGGGTTTGGTGGAGGCCTGGTAACTGGCAGCTGGGTTAAGGTCCAGAAGCGTCCCTCCACCAGTTTGCTCTTCAATGTGGCTACCTATTCTGCCTATAATTCTCTGTGGCTTTATTTGTTACCATACCTTTCCCACTAACACCTTTATACTTTGTGGAATTCTGTCGTAACTGCAAATTCCATGGCATCCAAGAGACTGCAGACAGTGAATATTTACAGATAACACTGTAAACATTTACATAAGCAAATTATTCACTTGTGAAGACTCAGAATAATTAGAGTCACAAGACCAAAAACACTGTCTTGATGTTAAGAAAAATTATTAGGGGTCGGCCCCATGGCCAAGTAGTTAAGTTCGCACACTCTGCTTCGGTGGCCCAGGGTTTCACCTGTTTGGATCCTGAGTGCAGACATGGCACCACTCACCAAGCCACACTGAGGCAGAATCCCACAAAGAACAGCCAGAAGGACCTACAACTAGAATATACAACTATGTACTGGGGGGCTGTAGGGAGAAGAAGAAGAAGAAAAAAAGAAGATTGGCAACAGCTGTTAGCTCAGGTGCCAATCTTAAAAAAATATATGCATTAAAAAAAGAAAAATTATTAAAAGTGATCCAAAAAAAAGTTTACTAATTCAAGCTAACTGCAGGCAAGATTATTCTGAAAAATAAAAAGCTATTAAAAATGTCTTAAAATGAAATTTTCTATTTCACTAATTTATAGATGAAATTCAATTACAGAGGCCTTAACTCATATATATCCACACCCACACACACACATACATTCATTCTAGAGGTGAACAATTACAGTCATGTACCACATAATGACATGTCGGTCAATGACAGACCTCATATACAACAGTGGTCCCATAAGATTATACCATCTAGCCTAGGTGTGTAGTAGGCTACACCATCTAGGTTTGTCTCAGTAACATAGGGGAGGAAGAAATTTTCCTCTACCGTACTAGGTTCTTCTGGCTGGTCTAAGAACTAAACTGACATGAGACAGATTAACAGAAGAAACACAAATAAAGTTTCAGTAACAAGTATACGTGGCAGAAACCCAGGGAAACCAAATTAACTCCCCAAAATGGCCAAAGGCCTCGCCTTAAATACCACCCTCAGCTAAAGACAAAAGATGATGTTGGAGGTCAGGGACTTCAAAGGGAAAGGAGGCAATCCACAGGTGAAAAAAAGCAAACATATGGAAAACAAGTGTTTGGCCATACAGAAACAGAGGAACATAGAGGGGAGCCCAACAAACAGGCTTTTCTAGGTTCCTTCCTGTCTACCACCTAGTTCATGTTATGCTACTAAGTCAGTAGCTCCCTTCCTGAGACAGGTTTTTCTATCCGAATTCTTATAGGCAGTTAAGGGGGAGATAAAAACTTTCTGAGTCTTCTCTCTTTTTTTTTTTTTGAGGAAGATTAGCCCTGAGCTAACTACTGCCAATCCTCCTCTTTACGCCTACTACAGCATGGCTTTTGCCAAGCGGTGCCATGTCTATACCCAGGATCCAAACCGGTGAACCCCGGGCCCCTGAGAAGTGCAACGTGCAAACTTAACTGCTACGCCACCGGGCCGGCCCCATTTTGTTTCTTAAAAATAATCAGCCTAAACTCTGGGCTGAGGGGGGCCAGCTCCGTGGCCGAGTGGTTAAGTTCACGTGCTCTGCTGCGGCGGCCCAGGGTTCGGATCCTGGGCACAGACATGGGACTGCTCGTCAGGCCACGTTGAGGCGGCATCCCACATCCCACAACTAGAAGGACCTGCAACTAAGATACACAACCATGTACAGGGGGGGTTTGGGGAGATAAAGCAGGAAAAAAAAAAAAGAGATTGGTAACAGTTGTTAGCCCAGGTGCCCATCCTTAAAATAAAAAAAAATAAAAAAAGGAAGACTGGCAACAGTTGTTAGCCCAGGTGCCAATCTTTAAAAAATAAAAAAATAAATAAACTCGGGGCTGGCCCCGTGGCCAAGTGGTTAAGTTCGCACGCTCTGCTGCAGGTGGCCCAGTGTTTCGTTGGTTCGAATCCTGGGCGGGCACATGGCACTGCTCATCAAGCCACGCTGAGGCAGCAACCCCTGTTGGCAATGCATGACTGTACATCAAAATCCTATTATTCAAATTAATCAGTAAATAAAACCAAGCTTCCTACCATATAAAGGGGAAAAAGGTAAAATTCTGAGTTATAAACTTTTTTCCCTGATAAAAATGAAAGCCTAACAGTCTAATATAAATTTTTCCTGGAATTAAATTAAAAGACAAATTTGTTTTTAAATTAAATATCCTCAACAGCAATTTTATCAAGGAGCAGACACCTTCTGAGGTCACCTCTGAAATAATTCTAAGATAAAAGTCAATGGCATGATAGATAATAAGATATTACTCAAGGAAGGAATGTGGGCAGGGAACTTTCTAGGGACTTTAGATGCTCTAAAAAGATAAAAGAATAGGGTTTAAGAAATCTAGAGGATGGAATGACTCATGAACCCATCAGGGCTTTCAAATATGCATCAAGACAGTGGATAACGGGACTCTTTAGCATTTACTAAGAGTGCAGATATGCTAGCTTGCTAACTGAATAGCCATATTATTCATGTACCACACTTGGGATAACCAAGTTTGAGAACAACTCCTATTGCCCAGATCTCTTCTTTGCTAATCTGTAGGTTCCATTTGCAAAGCTGGGCCTGATGTCCTTTCTCAAGCAGGTATATGGCAGAAAAGCAAATATTTAAAGCAGTACAGAGTAAATTTTTAAAAACATAAAAATACAGGGGCCCTGGGGCCAGCCCCGTGGCCGAGTGGTTAAGTTTGCGGGCTCCGCTGCAGGCAGCCCAGTGTTTTGTTGGTTGGAATCCTGGGCGCAGACATGGCACCACTCATTGAGCCATGCTGAGGCAGCGTCCCACATGCCACAACTAGAGGGACCCACAACTAAGAATATACAACTATATACCGGGGGGCTTTGGGGAGAAAAAGGAAAAAAAAATTTAAAAATTAAAATAAATAAAAATATAATTATACAGTACTTTAGAGGAGGGTTTCTCAACTTCAGCACTACTAACATTTGGACCAGATACTTCTCGGTTGTGGGGGACAATCCTGTGCGTTGTAGGATGTTTAGGAGCATCCCTGGCCTCTACTCACTAGATGCCAGGAGCACATCCCCCATTCCTAGTCATGATAATCGAAAATCTCTTCTGCCAAATGTCCCCAGGAAGCAAAATTATCCCCTATTAGGAACCACAGCTTTAGAGAATCGTGATAACAGTCTATCATCATAAAAGATAAAATGATAGTACACAATTAGGATTCTGTATTCTATTATTATCTATGAGATTACTTACAACCTCTGTCTTTTAGTATTCTGCAGATCTTTTGATTCTTAGCTCTTACAATTTCTATTTATGTGCATATTCATACCACTGTGTTAACTTTCAACTGTTTCTCTCAAACAGATAACATTAAAAACACAATACTCTCAAAGCTCCATGTTTCTTCTATACACTACCATGATTTATCGAAACTTATACTTCACGTCTCAGTAAATTCTTTGTTGTAAGATTTCCTAGCTCAGCAATCTGAATAACAACTTAAAGTGAATTTACTCCTGAACATGAGAGCAAATTAAACTTTCACTTGCCCATTAGAAAAACACAAAGCCAGACTAAGTTTATAGTTTTTAGCTTCTAATGGTAAAGTTCATCTGCGCTTAAATGCTAAAGAAAGGCCAATTTAAATTTTTAAGTAAATTCAAATTCTGCAATCAACACGAGAAGTCATTAAGAGGAAAAAAGGCGTTGGGTTTCCACAATTAACTTGAGATTATGCTAACAAAATTCAGGTATGGTATTCAAGACACACAAGTAATGGGTTAGAGTTTAACATATAATTCTAATACTTACTATCTAATTTCTGTCCTTCCGTAAAAGTTTCTAGAGCAGCAGCATAGTTTTTTTCATGGTATTCACATATCCTGTATGAGCATATTAAAAACAAACACCACACACACACACACACACACACACGAGATCATGAAAAATAGCCTTCTAAATAAAAAATCCTAGTATTTTCTTTATTGTTAAAAGAATATGTTAATAAGTTAAAAGTATAAGTTAATATTTAGAAAATAGACCTTCTAAAATACTCTACTGCGACATCCAGTATAATTCCCACTAAAATGCAATTTGGAACTCATTTCAGAAGGAATTTCTTCATTTTAATTGAATACACTTGCTTGCTCCAAAATACAGCTGTACTAAGGAATTTAAAATATTTCTTACTTAAGGAATAAAGTCACGCTTATCAACAGAAACAAACTGGGATGTAAAGTACACAGATACAGAGTTTTCACAGCATTAAATGTAGTCTGTCCAGCATGGTTAAGGATGAGATGTTCTCTAGTCAGTTAATACAGTAAATTCTAATGAACAAAAAAGGGATTTGAAATCCATCAGTTTCATTTATACTTTGCAGTTACTTCAATCATCACTATTTTAAAACATACTAACTACACATATCCTATCACATCAGTTAATACAAAAACAGAAATATAAATTATATTTCAACTTGAATCCTATCTCAGCTATAAAATGTGTAAATACAGAATTTACTATTCATATAAAGCTAACAATTAATTCATTCAACAAACTAAAATCTACTATCTGTAGTCCAGATCAAACAAGAGCAGTAGTTATTGTATACCCTTTTCTCAGCATAGCAGTGGAATTACTTGGATTAAGTTCAAGAGATTTCTTTGCATCAGCAACAGCATCTGTGTATGAAAAAAGGGGATTTTTAGTCAGTTATTTACAGATCCTAACAAATATTACACAAAAAATTTGAATCAGTCTTAGATTTTTAAGTTTACAATGTGGTAAAATGGACAAATAATTTTAAATGAGAAAAAGCCAATCCTAGATATGATTCAAACAAATATTACCCTCATACCTTCCTACTGGCCTAATATTTAGCTTCCTTCTTAAAGCTCTTCAGTCAATAAATAAAGCTCTGTACCACACAGTTCATCTAATTTTCTCACTAACATCATTTATGTATTTGACTCACAGTCAATTTAATTTTTCCCTACCCACATTTTCTATCCAGAATAATTAAAAACAAGTAATACAGAAGTACATTCTTTTTGTAAAAAATGCAAAAGAGAGCATTTCATTTAAATATGCTGTAAAACAGTAAATATGATGCTATTTTCTTTGTTAGCACATCTAAAAACCAGAAATGAAATCTGGACAAATTCTCCACCCACAGAAGGAAGAATAGATACCCATAAAATTTAAATGAGTGTTGTGCAACGTAACGCTTGTCACACTTCAGCTACTTCCCCTTGTATGAAAGATCAATTTAAAAATCCTTGAAGATAATCTCCATTTTACCAGACTCACTGTATCTTGGGCAAAATTTATAACAAACCTATGAAGAAGAGACAGTATACTTTGTAAGAAAAGTTACCACAGTAATTCCCAAGAAGAATGTGACAGTAAGCTCTTTGACAATAATACTGTGCATCATCTGGTTTCTGTTCCAAAGCCTTAGTCAGCTCCTACAAATACAAACACGTTGAGTGTCAGTAAATGTTCTTTAAAAGCCACTGAATTCTAATTAAACATGATTTTTAATCAAATAACCTATTATCATAAGCTATTTGGAGGAAAGATAACAGGGAAACAAGCTTGGAGCTTTTCTCTGCAAGAAGATCAATCTCTTCCCAGCTCTTCTCCCCTCCCCCCAAAAGCCTACAATCTAATGTACTATCTACGTAAAGCACCTAGCAGTTCCTGGCCTTCAGTAGGAACTCAATACATGGTAATTATTATCACCTCATTTATTCTGAAGAGGTTAGTTGATATACATTGACCTTCACAGATTTTATCCTTCTAATTTGGAGAAGACTCAAAGATATGTAGAATTTGAGATGCCTAGAAAATGTGAAGCTGTCCAATTAAAAAAACTGGAAGTTAAATCTAGAGTTCAAGGAGATTAACAGAATCAATAAACAAACAATCAAGCTTACCTGGCCCACTCCTATCCTCTGCCAATGGCAGACATCCCTAAGAAATTACAGCATTCTGTTGAAAGCCCAGATACAGTATCTCATAAATACCTACTATCCGTCATCAAGAGTTAACATTAGATCAACATTTTTGCCACCCTGGGCAGTCACAGTTTATAAGTGGTAGCTGAAACAATAATGATGGAAGAAGAGAGAGCATGACTAGTGGCGCCAAAGACAAATACAGCAAAACAGGAACACTGATTCTCTATCCAATGCCCACACACTCTAGAGATTTGGTAGTTTTCTTAAAAGGTAAAATTATTTCAATAGCCACACAAGTGTCACTGACTTTCCTTTAACCTAGTAGTGTGAGTTTCACAAAGCAATATATACTATACTTGGTAATCATATACCTAAAATCCAATACACCTAAAATCTAAACCACTTTTTACCATATTCACCCCTATCATGCTGATCCAAGTAGTAATGAAATTCACATCTTGTTACTGCGTCTCTGCTTAAAACTCTGCAATGCCTTTCCAGCCGATCAGGGCAAGAGCCCAAGCCCTTACAATGACCTCTAACACCCTCCTTGATATGACCCTCTGTTAGCTCTCTGATCTTCTCTCTTCTCTTCCCCTGCTTCTCCATCCTAGCCACAATGGCCTCCTTGCTGTTCTTCAAACACCTCAAGACTCTGCACCTGCTGCTCCCTCTCACTAGAATGTTCTTCCCCCAGATTGTACCGAAAATTCATTCCCTCACTTCCTAACTAGTGACTGTGCAGGGACAGGATTAAAATCCAGATCTAACTCCAACTTGAATTTTAACCACTAAACAACACAGCTTCTTGTTAACATTTCTTTACTCCAAGTTTCTTTCACACACTATTTCACATTTGAATTAACATGTTTTCTAATACTTTGAAATTCCTAAGTTAAATAATACCATCTTGCACTAAACTTTCAAACAATTTTGAAAACAGCTGATAGCTTCTTGCCTATCTACTCAAACATATCTTCAAACCAAATTTTCCAGCCTCTCCTCAGCAAGAAAACAGGTATATTATGGGTCAAAAAGGCTTTTACAGATTATATTAATATCTGAATCATCAATTCATAAGGTATTTTTAAACACATATTATGTGACAAACGCAGGCCAGATACTGGGGGTACAAAGATAAATAAAATATTCCTTTTCTTAAAGAGTCAGATATAAACTTCTGAATTTCAAACAACCAACCTGCAAATGACCTTTAAAAACATAAACCAATTGGGGGCTGGCCCCGTGGCCGAGTGGTTAAGTTCGCGCGCTCCACTGCAGGCGGCCCAGTGTTTCGTTAGTTTGAATCCTGGGCGCGGACATGGCACTGCTCATCAGACCACACTGAGGCAGCGTCCCACATGCCACAACTAGAAGAACCCACAACGAAGAATACACAACTATGTACCGGGGGTCTTTGGGGAGAAAAAGGAAAAAATAAAATCTTGAAAAAAAAAACCAAAACAAAACATAAACCAATTATTGGTTAAACAGGACCATTTATGGTGATTCAGTTAAATAAATTAAGCAACTGACTTATGAGGCTGTTAATAAAAGAAGTTACCAAAAAGACTACTGAGACAAACTGAACATTATGACACAAACTTATAAGTAATGAATAAAACACAATAAACAGTTTATTTTGAACAAGCAATATACAGTACAATAAAATCAGAAAAAGTGAAGTTAAAATAATGATTTGTGGTTGTCTTAACTACACTGACCTGTGGTATGTTTTCAGAGTTCTACTGTTTCTGTGACAACAGTTGCTGGCTGCTAGAGTACCAAAGGACTACAGAGAAGTATCTAGAAAGGCAAGGACTCCAGCGCCAACATTTGAATCGCAGTGGCAAAAAGCTATTATTTAATGCAGACCTATGAGAAACTTACCCAAACATACACTTAAATAAAACTAGTTATGTTACAGTTGAGCAATTTATAGTTCTCAAAAACAAAGAAAGCTAGTGAACTGTAAAATATAATTACACCGAAATCTTTACCAAGATAACAGTGAAGGAGGTAACCTGACAACCCAGAACAATAGGGGGAAAATTTTCTTTTAAGACATTAAAATTGTTTAACACTAGGATCCTAGAAAATGAATTTCCAAATATTTAAAGTTTCAGTCTCTTTTAAAATGCTACTCAAAAAGGTAACTTAAGATTAAAAGCAAAGGCAGACTGCTCAGACTGACCTGGTGTTTGCAAGCATGTAGCTCTGGGTATCTCAACTTGACTCCACTTTCAGTTTTCTTCTAGCCACAGCTAATCCCCAATCATGGGTAAACAAAAACATCAACCCTTCTCCCTTCCTAAACTACCTAGCACTCCTGATAAAAAAACAAAAAAACAAAAAACCCACACAGACCCAATACCACTGTACGTTCAGACTAACCAGCTACACTCTCAACAAAACTGTTTTTGGTCAGTTACTTCAAAGTCAGCTACCAACCTTTATATCATACAACCCCAATCCTACCCCAGCTCCAGAGGATGACTTTGATGCCTTGAACCCAGAGACTTCTCACTTCTAAACTGTATAACCTTGAGCAAGTTAATCTCCTTAGCCTCAGCTTCCTTGTGAGCAAATACCCACCACACACTTATTACAAGAATTATGGTAGGGGTAATTTAACACATTAGAATGCCTACCACACCCCAGGCACTACACTGAGAACAGAGATAAACAAGATACATGAAACACCTGTTCTCTTTAAGCTTTCACTGGGGCCCAATTTAGACAGGGTGGTCAGAGAAAACAGTTTCTCTGAGGTGACATTTCAGCCGAAATCTAAAGTGATAAGCATCTCCAAGGAAAACAAGAGATAGGTCAATAAACAGTACTTTTTAGGCAAAAGGAACTGCAGGTGCAAAGGCTCTCCATCAGGACTGAGTTTGACAGGTTCAAGTAACAGAAAGAAGCCAGTGTGGCTGAAACAGAGAGAGCAAAGCAGCTGCAGGATGCCTAACTCAAGGGATTCATCTGTACTTACATCACTTATCTTCGCAACAACCCTCTCAAGTCGTTCCTATTTAGTCCATTTTACAGACAAGAAATCTGACCCAGAGTGATAACAGGAACATTCCTGAAGTTAAATAATTATCGTGAAAACAGGATTTGGACCCAAGCAGTCTGATTCCAGAGCCTGTGCTCTTAACCACTTTTCATGCTAAGCCTCAAAAGATTCTCATAATCCACATACAGCCGTGTGTTGCTTAACGACAAGGATACGTTCTAATAAATGAGTGGTTAGATGATCTTGTCATTGTGCAAACATCAAAGAGGGCACTCAGACAAACCTAGACGGTAGAGCCTACTATACACCTAGGCTAGACGGTACTAATCTTACGGGACTACTGTTGTACATGTGGTCCATCACTGACCAAAACATTATGCAGCACACATGACTGTGTGTGTTTTCTCTCCTTACTGAACTGACACTTCCTCTGTAAAGCTTTTTTTTCACTTCCCCAGTTAGCCTCTATTCTGCTATGCTCTTTACTGGACTTTATACACCACTCCTTTAGAGTACCTACCTTCTATTTGTCTCCCCACTAGATTGCAAACTCCCTCACTGCACAATCTTTTCATCTTTAGATCTCTCCCTCCCAGTACAGCATTCACCACTCATGTACCTTGTTTGTTGAATGAATGAAAAATGTGAGTCAGCTTGATTCAAACATTTCCCCTTTATTCCTAATTGGATAGTCTTATATAAAAATGCAACATTTTAAGTGATGTAATATCAAGAGACTTGAATTTCAAAATGGCTACTGTTAAACCAGCTCTTGGGAAAATCTAGAAACAGACTCTCACTTCTCATCAAGGTTCCAGCCCTTCTTTTATTACCAATTATTTGGTAATTAACATCAAACTGTTCATCTTTGTGAGGTCATCTCCAGTTTTAAAAAGAACATTTCCCCTAACAGAGCTGGTTCTTATCATAATCATTCTCCCCACCCCCAGTTTCTGATTCAGGTCTGTGGCGGGTCCCGAGAATTTGCATTTCTAACAAGTTCCCAGGTGATGCTCCTGCAGCTCGTATGGGGACCACACTTTTGAGAACCTCTCTTCTACAGCACTAGACTAAGAGTCAGGAAGCACGTCCCAAGGCCCCCATTCTGCCTCTAACTGGCTGTATACATCCCTATGACAGATCATTTGGATTTATTTGGGTCTGTTTTCTCCCGCAAAACAGATGGGAAGAAGTAGTGGACTACAGGAGTCATAAGGACTTTCAGTAAATCTGGTGTCAGGGGGGTGTTCAGAATTTGCATTTCTAATGAGTCCTCAGGTTGTGCTGCTGCTGCTGGTCCAAGAGCCACACTTTAAGAACCAAGGTACTGGGGCCAGCCCCGTGGCCGAGTGGTTAAGTTTGCGCACTTTGCTGCGGCAGCTCAGGGTTTTTCCGGTTCGGATGCTGGGTGCAGACATGGCACCGCTCGTCAGGCCATGCTGAGGTGGCGTCCCACATGCCACAACTAGAAGGACCCACAACTAAAAATACATAACCACGTACCAGGGCTCTTGGGGAGAAAAAGGAAAAATAAAATCTTAAACAAAAAAAAGAACCAAGGTACTAAAGCTAACCACATTTCTACTCTACGCAATTTCACTCCTAGGTATATACACCTAAAAGAAAGGAGTGCATGTATGTGTTCACCAAAATACATGTACAAGAAAATTCACAGTAGCTTTATTCACACTAGTTAATAACTGGAAATAACCCAAATGTCCACTATTAGAATAAACAGTGCTACGTTTATAAAAAGGAATACTACATAGCAATGAAAAAGAACTACCACTTCACACAACAATATGGATGTATCGCACATAATGCTTAGGGCAAGTCAGAGTACCCACACTCAACTGAATACCTAGGTTATGATCCTGTTTACCTTAAGAGCAAGAACAAGCAAAACTAACTGATGGTGATGGAGGGCAGAACAGGGGTTACCTGGCGGGTGAGGGGAATTATTAGCTGAAAAGAAGCATGAGGAAGCTCTGAGGATGGAAGTGTTCTATATCTTGATCTGGGTGGTATACATATATGTAAAACTACAACTTCATAGTTGCTGACTTAAGACTTGCATTATTTACCTATATCGTACTTCAAAAAATATAAAAAGTAAAATAAGTGAGATGGAAAGTGACAAATTCATTACTTAAATATCCTTCAAAAGCAACTTTCATATAAACTGTATTTTCAAAGGAGGCACTGGGTCTAAAAGGACCATAACAAACCTCGATTCTGGAAATTAATTGCTGTCTAGCTGACATAAAGAATTGTGAAGAAAATTCTCAACGCCTCCTGTGACATTATTCTACTACTGATCCCAGAAGCCTCACTAGGAAACATCATAGTACAACTGATTAATCAACCACTTTATCTGAAGGCCTTCATATCCAGATCCAAAAACATACTCTGACCTAAAAGGCCCTAAGGGACCTAGCCCCTGGTTTTCTCCCCACCTCAGCTATTACTCCTCTTTCATCCTTCTCTAGTTAAACGGGCCTTTTGGCTGCTCCTTGTACAGGCCAACTTCATTCTTATCTCAGGATCTTTGCACTGGCTCTTCCTCCTGCTTGGAATGCTCTTTCCCCAGAGCTTCCCAACTCACTCCCTCATGTGTCTGCTCAAATGTCACCTCCTCAGAGAGACTCTACCACCGATCTGGCAAATTTCTTTTAGAAGTCATAACTAGGAAAATGGTTCTCTCGCCTCAAATCACTAACCTTGCTTACGTTAAATTATAACGAGGAAACAGGGTTTCCTCTCTTCTGTACTTCAAAGCAAGAAACCTCTGGCTAAACTGTGTGACCCACTTAATCATGTACCCTTAGCTTGAGTTCTCTGTTACTTTTAATTAGTATCTTACTCTTGCTCTTATACTTTCCTTCACAGCTCTCCAGTCTTTCACTGCACACAAAGTGCTTTCTAAGTCAATGAATATACAAATGAGATTTTAATCCACAGCAATCAGTGCCTTGCACACAGCAACTCCCCCAAAATTGTCTTGATGGATACACAAACGAGTAGAATAATGAACAATGACAGGACATCTGGAAATCTTCAGGGACATACGGGAAAAGGTTTTTGTTCCAGTAGTCTGAGTTCACACAGGCACCTGAGTCATACGAATAGCAAGGATGATTATCAAATAAAAAACCGAATTAGCAAATATCATCAAGCCTAGATTTCACTTTCTTCTAGGCACAAATACGACCTAAAAAGAAAAAACCCTTTCAGGCCAAGTATGGATGTCAACTATGCCCCCCAAAAACAGATTTTCCTAAGCTGCGAGGATGCAGGAACGGTCTAGGAGTAAAACGGGGCAAGAAGAGGCGTCTAGAGTAAGGGGGCCACTGTAGGCCACGGAAAGGAGAGGCCGAGGCTGTCAATATTAGGGCTGAGACACAAGAAAAACAGCAGCCCGGGTCCCAGAAAGGCAAAGCCGGGAAGAGGAGGGGTCGGCCAGAACCCGTCGCTGCCGCGTTCCCCAAAGGAGAGTGGAGGAGACTGAGAAGGGCTCTCTCACCTCTAACGCCGCCTGGGGGTCCTCGTCGATCAGAGCATCTGAGAAGCTCCGGAAAAACCTGCCAGGAAAACAACGACTTCAGCAGGGCTCACTGACCAAGAAAAGCAGGGGGATAAAAATAAACAGCCAAGAGAAGAAAAAGCACGCACCTCTGGGCTGTTGCAGGTCCTGCTGCAGCCGCCGCCATCCCTAATAGTCACTGTTACCGCTGCTGGAGCTGCTACTACTGAGGTTAACAGCTTGGCCACCGCCCAAGGGGGAAACTTCTGGAGAAACACCAACTGGAGCTTCCGTCCTAAGTAGCCAACGAGCAGCCACGCAGCGCGCCGCGGGGGGAGGGGAGGCGAAAAGCGGGCGCGGGGCCGGCTGGGACGGTGGAGGACCCAATCTCCCGGCCCGGCCCCCGGTCCCGTGACCTGCGCTGCCAGTTCCCGCCCCTCGCAGCCATGGTTACGGAGGCCTCCGCGGTTCACGTTCGCCCTCTCTTCCACTGCACGCCCGTACGCCAGTAGAGCCTTCAGGAGTGATAGCTCAAAGCACATGTGGAACGTATTGTTATGCCTCAGGAACGTGGGGCGTTTGGATGTCTGTTACTAACACAAGGCACGCACGTGGAGCTCCATTTTCACCGCGGTCCCCATCATGGCTCCCGGAGGCAGCCAAGCCTTTCGTGACCCGTGACGTCATTCGCGGCTACGTGTTTGTTTCCGGGAGCACAGCTTCGGATTGCGCGTCGAGCCGGGATCTTTACGCTGGGAACCATAGAAGACTAGGACTCGCCGGAAGTCGTTCTGTCTTTGCGGAACCTAGAGAGAAGGAACCCTTTTGGTTCCGGTGTGGGTGCACTGTTCCACTCCCCAGAACAACAGAGGCCCAAGCTTTCTCCCCGGTTGGCTTCCAGGTAGAGAAGGAAAACCTGTTCCGTCCAAAGGCACTGAAGGGAGTAAGGTGGCCTGAAGTTGTCTCAGTGCTGCTTTTCTTTCCAACCTAGTGAGTCAGGCCCTCCCTCACTCTCTGTTGACACATGCAGGTCAGAGAGAAGAAGCCCCCAGCAAGTTCCACGGGATGGAGGTGGAGGAGCAGAGGGGAGTGGGAGTGAGCGGCTCAGTCAGTAGAGATAAAAAAGGAAATGAAGTTGAGCATCTGCTACGTCCAAAATCTAAACTAAGCCCTGGGATTCGAAGACATTAATGCTCTCCAGAAACTTAAAGCAGTTCTAAGTGCTTAAATGAAAGAAGGGGAATAGTCATGCGATAGCAAGGAGGGGCCCTTAGCCCAATATAAGGTATGGGGATGGATTCCTCAAAGGTGTGATACCTGAGCCTCAGCCTTGAAAGATGAATTAGAATTAATCAATGAAGGAAATGAAAAAGGCATTTTCCGACAGAGTAGAACGTGTGTTTAAAAAACGGTAAGGAGAGCTCTAAAATTGGTAGAGTCAAAATTCACGTTGCAAGCAGACTGGCTGGAGAGGTAGGTAAATGCCAGGTCATAAAGGGCCAGGTGTGGTCTGCTTAGAAGCTTGGATTTGATTCTCTTAATGATGTTAACTCAGTAAAGGATTGTTTTAGGGCTCGGCTGTGGCCGAGTGGTTAAGTTCCCGAGGTCCGCCTTGGTTGCCCAGGGTTTCCCCAGTTTGGATCCTGGGTGCAGACATGGCGCCACTCATCAGGCCGTGTTGAGGTGGTATCCCAACATGCTGCAACCGGAAGGACCAACTAAAATACACAACTATATACTGCGGGGATTTGGGGAGAAAAAGCAGCAAAAAAAAAAAAGATTGGCATCAGTTGTTAGCTCAGGTGCCAATCTTTAAAAAAAAATTTTTTTCAATCCAAAAAGGCAGTAAGTCAAATTTGCATTTTTTTAAAGAGTTTACTTTTCCTCCTCCCCAAAGCTGGGCCCCCCCCCCCCCCCGGGCCAGGTACATAGTTGTATATATTTTTAGTTGTGGGTCCTTCTAGTTGTGGTATGTGGGACGCCACCTCAGCATGGCTTGATGAGCGGTGCTAGGTCGGTGCCCAGGATCCGAACCAGCGGAAACCCTGGGCCCCGGAAGCAGAGGGCACGAACTTAACCACTTGGCCGCAGGCCGGCCCCCCAAATTTGCATTTTTAAAGTATATTATCGTCTGTGCTATGGAAGAATGATTAAAGGGAAAGGAGAGCAGTTGTTGAGAGACAACTGCTGTGTTACAGCCCAAAATGACTCTCAAACAGATCAGTGATTGTGGGGATGGAGAAGAAAGTGAGAATTACAGAAATATTTGAAGTAAAACTGTCTGGGTTTGCTGTGGGTTTTGTTTTTGTTTTTGTTTTGAGGAAGATTAGCCCTGAGCTAACATCTGTGCCAGTCTTCCTCCACTTTATATGTGAGTTGCTGCCGTAGCATGGCTGACCAGTGGTATAGGTCCAGTCCTGGGACCAGAACCTGCCCAAGCAGTGTGCGCTAAATTTAACCATTATGCCAAGGGGCTGGCACCTCTCAACATATATTTTTTTTTTTAAAGTTCAAGGTTTCCAGGTTTGGGAAGAAACACTAAGAGAGCTGGCTTTGGTTCCCTCTTCCTAAGTTGCTCCTTTTGTCTTTTTTTTTTTTTTTTTTGAGGACGATTAGCCCTGAGCTAACATCTGCTGCCAGTCCTCCTCCTTTTGCTGAGGAAGCCTAGCCCTGAGCTAACATCCATGCCCATCTTTCTCTACTGTATATGTGGGATGCTTGCCACAGCATGGCTTGCCAGGCAGTGCCATGTCTGCACTCAGGATCCGAACCAGTGAACCCTGGGCTGCCGAAGTAGAACGTGCGCACCTAACTGCTGTGCCACCGGGTCAGCCCCTCCCCGCATAGATTCTTCTGAGACCTTTGTTGTTAAGTAGATGACCACATATATGAGTCTGTTTCCAGGTTCTTATTCCATTGATCTGTCTAACCTTGTACCAGTACCACACTGTCTTAATGTAGCTTTGTAATTCTTGAAGTCCTGTAACTTTTTCTTCAAGATTATCTTGGCTATTCTAAGTCCTTTGTATTCCAGTATTTTGTAAAATTTCCATTTATTTGTAAGTTTTAGAATGAGCTTGTCAATTTCCAGCAAAAAACAAACCCCTGCTGGAATTTTAATTGGGCTTGCATTGGATCCATAGATCTATTTGGGGAAAACTGACATCTTAATATTGAGTCCTCCAATCCATGAATATTACACACCTCTCCATTTTTTTAAGTGGTCTTTAATTTCTCTCAGCAGTGTTTTGTAGATTGCAGTGTAGAGGTCTTACATCTTTCATTAGATTTATACTTGGGTATTTGATTTTTTTATGCTATTTTAAATGGCATTAACAATTTTTTTTTTTTTGAGGAAGACTGGCCCTGAGCTAACATCTGTGCCCATCTTCCTCTACTTTATATGTGGGACCACTGCCACAGCATGGCTTACCAAGCAGTGCCATGTCTGCACCCGGGATCCGAACCGCAGACCCCAGGCTGCCAAAGCGGATTGTGCGCACTTAACCGCTGTGCCACCGAGCAGGCCCAGCATTAACAAATTTTTATACTCTGTTGCTAGCATATAGAAACACTACTGACTTTTACTTATTGACCTTATATTCAGCCATCTTGCTAAGTTCTCTTATTTCTAATACTTCGTAGGTTCTTTTAGAATTTCTATGATCACAATCTTGTCATCTGTGAATAAAGGTGGTTTAACATACTGCTGTGCAATCATTATACCTTTTATTTCTTTTTCTTGCTGTCTGTCACTGAATAGGATGTCTGCTATAGTGTTGAATAGAAGTAGTGATAATGGACTTCTTGTCTTTGTTGTAACTTCAGGGGAAACAGTATCAAATGCTTTTTCTGCCTTTATTGAAATGATCAGATGTATTTTTTCTTTAATATGTTAATGTGAACTACATTGATTTTCAAATGTTCTCCAAATGGCCAGTATGCATATGAAAAGAAGTTCTGCATCAACAGCTATACAGGGACTTAAAATCATAATTCATAATCATAACACTCCCAACAGAATGGTTAAATTGAATTCCAACACCAATCATTGGCAAGGATAGGAAGTGAGCACATATAACTTTCATATATTGCTAGTGGGAGTATAAATTGGCATAACTACTTTAGAAAAATTTTTTGACACTATCTATTAAAGTTACTCATACATATGCCCTTTACCCAATAATTCTACCATTGGGTATATAACAAAGAGAAAAAGAGTACTTATGTTCATGTACAAGAATATTGATAGCAGCATTATTAACAGAAGCAAAAACTGGAAATAACCTAAATGTCCTTTCATAGGAGAAAAATACTACAGAGCAATGATTAAGAATGAACTACCAGTACACACAACAGTATGGATGAACCTCACAGAAAAAATGTTGAGTTAAAGAAGCCAGGCAGAGTACATCTTGATTGATTCCATTCATATGAAGATAAAAAACTATTTTGAGGGACATCAGAGGGTAATCATGTGGCTGGGAAGGGCCATGAGGAAGCCGCCTTGGATGCAGGCAATTTTACATATCTTGATCTGAGTGGCAATTACACCAATTTATTCAGATGTAAAATTTTATCAAGTTGTACACTTAAGATATGTGCACTTTATGCATCAATAAAATAGGGGGGAAAGATTTAAAACAAAATTGGCAACGAACAATCAGAATTTGAAGTTTAAAAACTGTGACATTTACAATAGCATCAAAAATACTAAATACTGAAAAATAAATGTGATAAAAGTATGTGCAAAACATATACATTGAGAATTACAAAGCATTGCTGAGAGAAATTAAAGAACACCTAATCAAATGGAGACACATTCTACGTTCATGAGTCAGAAGATTCAATATTGTTAAGATATCAGTTCTTCTCAAACTTAGCTATAGATTCAACATGATCCCAATCAAAATTCCAAAGGCCTTTTTCTATTTTTAAAGTTGACAAGCTGATTCTGAAATTCAAATGTAAATGTACACGACTTAGAATAGCCAAATCAACTTTGAAAAACAATAAAGTTGGAAAACTAACACTACGTGATTTCAACACATCAACCTTGTGTATTGGCACATCAAGATAGACAAGATCAATAGAACAGAGTAGAGAGTCCATAATTAGACCCATACATATATGGACAACTGATTTTCAACAAAGGTCCAAAGGCAATTCAGGGTAGAAAGGATAATTGAAAAAGATAGTCTTTTCAGACTTTCCAATCGAAAAAGATAGTCTTTTCAACAAGTTGGATATACAAAAGCAAAAAGCGAATTTCAATACATAACTTGCACCATCTACAAAAATTAACTCAAAATGGATCATGGACTTAAATGTAAAATTTAAAACTATAAAACTTCTAGAAGAAAAATGTATGTCACCTTGTTAAGCAAAGATTTCTTAGACATGACATCAAAAGCATGGTTCATAAAAGATGTTGATAAATTAGACTTTACCAAAATTAAAAAGTTTCTACACTTTGAAAATATTTGCAGGGCATATATCTGATGAAGAGCTTATATCCAGAATATATAATGAGTTCTCAAAACTCAGTAATAAGAAAACAACAGAATTTAAAAATGGGCCAAAAATTTAACCATCACTTCATCAAAGATAGGTGGGTGTCAAGCACATGAAAAGATGCTCAAAATCATTAGTCATTAGGGAAATGTAAATTAAAACCACATTGAGATAACCACTACACACCCATTTTAAAATGGCTACTAAACTTATGGGACAACCATGGTAGACAAGAAACTATGGAACCATAGCTGATCTGAAATACACTGCACATCACCCCAAGTCATGAAACTGTCTCAAAGCAACTGATGAGACTGGCTGATCTCTCTTTGGGAAAGAAATACATGTTTCATGTAGGCATGAGCATTTTTATAAGTGTTTGGACAGGAAAAAGGATGTTAGGGATGATGGTAGGCTGCATTATTCCTCCCTTATTCCTTGCTCTGGAGCCCCAATTTGTTTGGCTGTCCATCTCCCCAGCACATGCCTAAGTAATTTTGGCAATCCGCTTCCTTGGCCAGCAATTGGTTGAGGAAGGGTATACGACCAATCCAGCCAATGAGCTGTAAAGAGATGTCTGCTCAAGGTGTCTGGGAAAGGTCTCCTTAGTGATAAACAGAAACATAGAAGGAACTACTGCAGCTATCTTGCAACCATGGCAGGAGGCATCCTGGAAACTACACCAAAATCCTGAGGATGGTAAAGCAGAAAGACGGAAGAAATCTGGTTGCTCAGTATCACCACTGAGCTCCTGAATTAACCAATCTGGAAACCTCCTAACTGCAGACTTCTTGTTTCGTACTATTTAATAATTTTGAATTGTTTTTTGTTTGTTTTAATTGAAAGCGAATCCTAATCGTAACCGACAGTATGATTTTGAGAGTAAAATTTGAAGATAAGGCTGGTGAGACCATGCAGGCCCTCAACTCCATCTGAAGACAGTAAGGAACCACTGAAGGGCTTGACATAATTAAATTGGCACTCCTGTTGCATTGAGAACAGATTGGAGAGGGACAAGGTGAAAACAAAGAGAATGAGAAAACAGTGACCTTTAGATAAAACAAGGGGGAACTCTAACCTTTGAAAAAGTCTTTGGAGCAGCCCAAGAGGAACACTAAGAAACTATTATAAAGGCAGCAGAAGGACAGAAAAGAGTTGGGCACAAAAGTGCAGGCAATAGAGAGTTTAAAGGAAGAGTGAGTTATAAAAGGTTATCAAATGCTGGAGAGGTCAAGGAAGAGAAGGATGGAAATTTTGCAATACGGAAATTGATTAGTGTTTAGTGACCTTTGCAACAGTAATTTCAGGAAATAGTGAGGACAAATGCAATACTACAGAGGGTTAAAGAATGAATGGAAAGTAAGGAAAGCAGCAGGTTAACAGGTTAAGGATAGTGACGTCAACATCACAGGTGCTTCCTTAATAAATACATGTTGAATCAGTGATTTGATGTACCAAGACCAAAGACTTCATGTGAGCTATGCCCCTGTTGAGGAGTTCAGTATGACAGATGAGGTTAGGGGACGCATGGCTAGACAGAGTTCTAGGGAGGAGAAACTTTCCCTCGATCCTCTTAGCTCCTTAGCTGGGCCTGAAAATCAAACTGACAAAGATAGATTAAGGGAGAAAAGCATATAAATATATTTAACATAAGTTTTACATGACACAAGAGTCTTCGTAAGGAAATGAAGATTCAAAGAAATGGTTAAGCTTGAGCATTTTTCTACTAGGTTTGATGAAGAGTAGAAAGTCATGGGAAACGAGAACAAAAGGGTCTGAGCTAAGGGTAGTAAATGGGGAAACTTAACAAGGCATGTTCATTCAGATTCTTCTCTGCATCCCTCTGTCTTCACAGATAAGGATGCTCCTTTTAAAATTATATTTTGGGAGAAAATGACTAGGTGGAAGTTACTCCTGGGTATAGGCGAATTGGATTGAGATTTTAATTTTCTTATATTTTTCTGTTTCTATGTTTTCTAAGTTTAACAACTGATCTAATTTCTAATTAGAAAATTTGTTTTTTAAAGTGTGCTTAATATTATTGCTGAGAACATTTTATTTTTTAATTTTTGGAGGTTGGGGATTCATTGTGTGAGGTCTGGAAACTGCCATTTGCATCACAGAAAGGAAAAATGAGAGGATGACATTCGGCAATTCTAATCTGTTATATATATGAGTTTGTTATATAAACATTTAATAACACTGAATGCTAGCAACATTTTCTGTATACTTGTTCTTAAGAAACATTTGCTTGAAAACACAAACTGAGAATTTTTACATGATTTATTTAATAATAAACCAATTAAAGATACAAAAACGTTTAGAGGATTCCAAAATTTAAATTTTTGTTTAAATACAAATTCACTCTGTAATATGAAAACATATAATATTAGACCTCTAAACATAACGATTTTTCATCTACAAAAATTTCTTTGCTATACTAGAAAATTTGCAGAAAACAATTTTTCTTGTGAAATTAAATGTACATTATTTACAGTTGAAAAAGTAGTCTAAAAACTATTTCATTTCAGAATCTTGGATATATATGTATATTATCTTTGTATGTACTCCCCTCCCCCTCACTCCCAGTAAAAAAATGATCCAAAATATAAAGCAATTATGCTTTTATAGCAACTGACTACTCAGACAGATTAGCCCAAGGCTTTGTTGCTTTCTGGGCCCTTAAGAAAGAACCTTGACTCTTTCAGAATAGCAGTATATCACTTAGCACTCAGCAACATAAGTTTACTAAGGGACCACAGTGCACAGTGGCCTAAAGAGTTAATGAACAAAAAGTATTTAGGAATTCAGGTTCGTAGCAGATCTTACAGATAATAGAAGAATGAATTTTGTAGGGCCACTTACTTTTCTGCAATTTTTTAGCTTAATATTTACATTAGGAAACAATCTGACAATGTTTTAATTGATACAACTTTAAAATATAGGAGTTGGAATCATAAAATTTAGAACTAGTAAGGAAAATGGAGATCATCTAGTCTAATCCAATGCACCCTTTTCTTTTATGAGAGAAGTGAGGCCCAAAACGATCAAGTGGCTTGCCCAAGGTTACACAAGTTAGCAGGAGAGCCACTATCCTGCTTCTGGAACAGGGTTTGGCCATATCATGGGCACATTCCAATTTTCAATGTTATTTTTACATATTCATGGTTCATTATACAGTGCAACCAACTGGTCAATCTAAGTGAAATCATAATTTTAACAAAGCATAAAATAGGTGTCTTGCATTTGAAAGAGTCAAGACTTAACTTACACAAGTGGAATGAAAATAGTTCCTATATAAATTTCCTGTTGCCTTATATTGAAGTACTCTATTTACAAAAGAATCAGAAAAGCTAATACAATGTAAAATTAAAAAAGAAGCTTTAAAAATTCTTATATAGCAACTGAAAAAATCTCAAAAGAATGTCTTCATAGTATAAAATTCCTGTTCCTTCACAATTGAATTCTGAAACACATGGAGAACAAAGAGAAACACCTGGGTTTTCCTCCCTCATCTAACAAAGTCAAAATTAACTCTAAATTATTATTTTTGACAGTAAACTACAAAATTAGGAATATCTGTAGAACTTATGTTAGAATCAATTACATAGTTTGCATATGACTGGAAATATTCAATTACAAAACAATCAGCCATAATTCCTTTGGTATATTAATTAAAAAGAGTTGGAAGGTTCCAGCAGTTCATTTTGTTTCACAGCTACCTGAGAGGTAAATCCATTGGAATTGGATACCACCATCACATAAGGCTGTGGCTGTTGCTCAGTTTTCTCAGTGTCTTCTTTCAAATTATCTTCGACCTCCTTTTTCTCTACTTCCTGTACAAGAGTTTTTGTTTCTTGAGCTTTGATAACTGAAGTGATTACAGTGCCAGGTGGGTGAGCAACCAGCTGTGAACTGCGAGGAGAAAAGGTCACCACAGGTGTAGTAGCACTGAAGGACGGAGATGAAGCCATACTGGCGGTTCCATTGCAAATGGACTGAACGTTGCTAGTAAGAACCTGCTGTACATGGGCAGGGCTCAAGACAATTGAAGGAGGAGAGCCTGGCTTCTGCGACTGTAGCATGACATTTTCTTTCAGTACTGTCATGGGCTGTGATGATGGAATAGCTTGCAAAATAAATTTCTGAGATCCAGCACCTGATGATGGATCTGTGCTGGCTATAACTGTTGTGATTGGCACTGTCTGGAGTGTTACTGTATGCAAATGCTGATTCCCAGGAGACACGACCACTGGAACTTGGGTTGGAGCCTGTATAGTCCTATTGAGATTATGAAATAAAAGTGAGAAAATTAACATATTCTACATCATTTAAAACTTTAACATTTGACAAGTCATTTTGACATAATACAAGTTATATTTAAATGCTACTTCCCATATTTTCAATACAACATTACAAACATTGTGCTAGACCCAACATTACAAACATTGTGCTAGACCCGACCCTGTATTAAACACTGTACACACAGAAATGCTCAACACAAAACTCTCAGGCATTGACTATAATACTATCTGGTGGAAAAAAAGGTCTGTACGAAGTGCCACATTAACACAAACGGGGAAGCAATTTTGTTGCAGAAGGAGAAGGATATCAAAACGTTTGGCAAGGAAGTTATGTATGAGCTGCTTGAAAGCAAATTACAAATTTTAAAACAAATGTATTGAATTCACTCTCATTGTTTTATTTTATTTTATTTATTTTTAAAAGATTGGCCCTGAGTTAACATCTATTGCTAATCTTTCTTCTTCTTCTTCTCCCCAAAACCCCCCAAATACATAGTTGTATATTCTAGTTGTAGATCCTTCTAGTTCTGCTATGTAGGACACTGCCTCAGCATGGCCTGATGAGTGGTGCTAGGTCTGCACCCAGGATCCAAACCAGTGAAACCCTGGGCCGCTGTAGCCCAAACTTAACCACTCAGCCACGGGGCCGGCGCCGTTGTTGTTTCTTTGAATAACATGAAGTCAGAGTCGAAATTAAAATTTGTAAAAACTGAGCACACATACCATAAATCAATTAAGAAAAGCTTAATTGATTTCAACATAGACACATGCAATTATGTGAGATAAAAGGAAATGAGTAAAGGAAAAAACTGAGAAAAAAACATCTTGGAACTTCATTGTAAAAACTAATAATTCATGCAATTTATGTGAATCAACCAGCAGTATGGCAAATCACAAAGTTCACTGCTTTGACTGAACTGCTTGCATTAAAACACTGTCTCCACTACTTACTAGGTGAGACTAGGCTCCTTGGCCTCTCCTTGTCTCAGTTTTCTCATCTGTAAAATAGGAATAATATTACCTACATCTCATTGAGCTTGAGGATTCTTTACATTAATGTACACATAAAGTGTATCAAATATACAGCGTGCTTTCAAAGTGTCAGCTTTTGTTATATTAATTTAATAATTAATCTAATTTTAAGTCATTTGTATTCCACCTTCTCTCAACTACAGAAAAATTTTTTTAAGGTCTTTGATTTTATTAATAAGTAGTCATAAAATCAAAAAAGATATAGTCAAACTACCGTTAATTTTCTTAAGAGTGATAAAATGGTTATTTAGGATAATGTAGGTTGAAATATTTAGGGGTGAAATGTCATACTGAGATCAACTTACTTGACAAACAGCCAAACAGGAAAAAGGGTATAAATATAGAGAGAAAAAAAAAAATGAGGCAAAAAGCTATCAATTGTGAACCTAGGTGGATGGTAAATAGGTGTTCATTGTACTATTTCAACTTTTCCATATTTTGAAATTTTTCATAATAAAAAGTTTGGGTAATTGTAAATGCAAAAAAGAGAAATCACTAAACAAGAAATTAACCTAATGAAAAACTATTCTAATAAAACGTTAAAATTTTAGAATGATATGGACAATTTGCCTGAAATTTATTTAACACTTGTTCTTTCTTTTTATATAATGGAAAGGAACAAGATAACAGCAAAACCTGAATAGTTACATTCAGGAGCTGTCAACTGTTGCTATTCATTAACATTTGCCTTTTCATATCTAGTAATTTCAGGGAATAAAATGCATTCTATTAAAGGTTTAACTGCTTTAAAATAAGTAGGATTTGGGGGAGGAAAATAAAAGATATAACCAAACGAGAGGAGAATGTTTTAAAAAGTCAAAGAAATGATTAAGAATGTGTATGTACACATACATACATACAAATACAGGATGATTTCTACAATAAGAAAGTATGTTTTAAAGTTTGAAAAGTTAAATTTTGTATTTCTTCATTCTACAAGTAGTCCATTCAGGACTCATTACTCCAATAGGAGATAAAGAATGAATATATTCACTACTTCAAAAGGAATTCTATAAATATGATGGGGTATTATGTGCCAGATACTATGTTAGGTGTTAGGAAAAGGACAATGAATAAACTCTGGCTCCTATAGATTTAAATATATAGGAGGATTTAAATATATAGGCATTGAAGTCAACACCACCCAGTTTATGTACCAGAATGAGGTACAGGCAAGCAGTCAGTCTTAGCTGGAAAGCAAGGGAGGAATTATGAGCAGAGAGTGAGAGCTGGCAGCTGAGGCTATAGAAATTGGACTGCACTCTGTGTGCAACACAGATCTAACAAAAACTGCAAGAAGGCAACATAACAAAACTATGACTAGTAGTAACATATAGGTTGGACTGAAGAGAAAAAATATTAGAGGCAGGAAGCAAGCAGAGAATCCACAGAACTCTCAGGGACCACAGAAGTGAAGATTCTGAAACATACAGCAGAGATAATCACAATGTTTTAATAACTGGCATTGAATCTTATCAGAAATTGACATTCAGGGTAATATAGTATCCAATACAATATCACAATCTAATCTTTCAGAGCTGGTGGGGTGTGGTTTTTTGTTTTGTTCTCAAGATCTAAAAAGCAAACTTTGATTACAGATGCTAAAAAACCAATGAATCACTCCAAAAGGGGGGTCCTAGTGATTAGCTCTGGCCATTGTATGTTTCCTATCAACACAAATACACATAATTATAAAACGACAAAAAGCCTAGATACCTATGGGAGAAACCACATACTTCCAATTTAATACTCAGTCATCACATGTAACCAATAAGACATAGAGGAAAATAAAACATTAAAAAGAAAATAGAGCATGTTAAATAAGTACTCCTTTACTAACAAAGATGTATCATTCCTGTCCAATAAAAATAGAAAAAATGAGGTCTTAATACTCCTTGCAAGACAACTAAAGATTTCAGAGAATTTGATTTTCACAATGTTAAAGGTTTAAGTAAACTATTCAAGTGAGACTGAATCATCTAAGTCTGTCTTGACTCTAGGTAATGTTTACTAACTGCAAGATCAATTGAACAAAAACCCAGCATTTATATTCTGGAATATACAAATGTAAGACTGAAGTTGGCTAAACAAAATAATCAAAGAATCATTTTCATTGGATTTGGAAGGGCTCCTATATTTTATTATAACTCATGTTCTGGAAATTCATGACAGAAGAAATAGAAAAAGAGAAGGCTGCAAATGTCCATCTAATTTTCTGCCTTCTTCCCTTTCTCCCATTCTAAATCAGCTGAGACCCACTCCCAAATTTCTGCAAAAGATCAGTCTAAAAGCAGATAGGGTTTTCTTGGTTAATTAATTGTTTTGTATCTTTCCTGTAGCTATGAGGCAAATTTGATTTGATTATGCCAAAAAAAACCCTATTCTTCCACCTTCTGCCATTCTAAGAGCCTGAAAAAGAGGACCTTAGATTCTGGGTCTCCCTACCTGTTTGAACTTTAGAACTGTTTCATGATAGGATCTTCCCAAAGAATAATGTTTATTTCTTGGAATTCAATGCATTCCAAAAGGTCAAAATGTGTCAATCTATGTTGAATTTTTACAGCTTCTGACTGTTTGAAAAAAGATCTGAAACCATCCTCTGGATTTTCTTATATGTGGATCCCTTCCTGTATGGATCAATCCAGTTACACAAATGTATAGTGGACTAGACTTAAATTGATAGAATAACATCAAGTAATGTCAGAGTTTAAAAATAAGGCATCACTGATACAATCAGAGGTCTGATGTAATACACATTGCTGCTGAAACAATCTGTTGACCAAGAGTTCTAGCTTGAAATCTATATAATTTTTATTTTCACTTGGAATCTTGACACCTGTAACGAGTCATGGCTCAGGTCAGAAACATCACATAATGATTTGCATCGGTAACTTCAGTTTCTCACCTAATACTCTGAACGGAAGAATTTAATGTTTCATCCTGCACGCAGTTGGTGATGGCTGCTTCTCCATCTGGGACAGCTTGTACTGGCTGTACTACATGAATAGTCCGGAAGAGCTGGGTGGGGTATGGAGACTGTGTGGGCTGCACTGTCCTCAGAACTTCTGATGGCTGTGCAACTTCCACAGGATCTTTGGGTTTTGCAGCTTTAGAATTCCCTGGTTTTAGAACGGTAGTGGCTCCTCCTTTTATCCCTGGACTTGAAGACACTCTCGATCGGCTTGCTTGGTTCCTACTTGAAGTGGTTGTTGAAGACAGGGATGGATCTGAAGACTCTATGCTGGAACTTGCATCCTCATCATCTATATAAATAAGATCTTTTGGCATTTCCTTAAACTGATACACCAAGCGCTGACCTTCCACTTTTGCCAGAATACCCCTTTGGTAATAGTACCTATTCAAAGAAACAATTTCATCAATATTTTATTCAATTTAACATAAATTGATGTTTAACAAAATAAAAATTTCCTAATCATAAACCAAAGTTTAAAGCTAGAAACAAGTGAGAAAAGAATTTCTAAATGAAGGTCAGTTATTTTATACAAGATAATATAATTAAAAACATTCTTTTCTAAACATGTGTTAAACGCACATTTACTTACAAAGAGAGAAAAAGTCCTTATTACCAACTAAATCTGAAATCAATTCTGATTAGGGGATTGTTGATAAAGTATATGGATTATTCTAGCTCTTCTTTTTTTCCTTCTTCTACCTTCTGTTGACTTGCTGGAACAATCAAATCTACTGCTACAAACCTCAAGAAATGATTTCCCTTCCACAGCTTCCTATAACACCCCTACCAGTTTGAATTTGATTCTGTAAATCCGATTCCGTTTTCTTTATAAAATTTAATGATAGACAAATAGAAGTGATTCAAATTTTGTCAATGATTTAAATTAAATCAGGAACCAATAAGTGTGAGTTAAAAAAAACAACCAGAAACTGTTACTAAATAGTTTTAGTTTAAGAAGATTATCAAGTATCAGATCATTGCTATTTCCAATAAATCTTTCTCAAATATATGCATATCTTGAATAAATGACATGATGACAGAAAAACAAACTAAAAGAGAGTTTAGGAATAAAATGATACCCTAGTTCAAAATTTTCACCATCTTTAATATTCTCAAAGCATTAATTTATTCTACCCATAATATATTATATGTCACACCTGAGATTAACGTTTAACCATGCATCCTCTTAGTAAGCACCTGCATCACTACTATTTGTACCTTGTGCTGAACTTAATTTTAATGGCTCAAAACAATGAGAGCTGTGGTCAGTTTACAATTCCTGATGACAGCTTAACATTTCCTGATCTCTTGATAAATAAAATATCTGTTTCTTGCAGAAAGATTATTTTTGGAAGGAAAACATTTTCCAATATTGGAATAAGATTTCAATTTAAATGCACACTGATTTCTGTAAGTAGTGTGGCTTTAGCACTTCAATAAATAAAATTCACCATTTCCTTTATTCCTCAGTATTTTAGAAGTTACCTATTTTTTAGGAAATGATATTCTTAATACAATGAACTACAAAAACTTCACATACCTGAGAGCTCTTCCCATGGTCTCATAGTTCATATCAGGTTTGTTTTTGTGCTTTCCCCACAACCTGGATACTGCTTTAGAATCTACCAATTTAAAAATGCCTTTTTCTCGCTGGGTCCATTTTATATATTTAGGACAAGTAGCTTTGTCCTGGAGCAGTGCCAGTAAAAACTCCCAAAGATAAATTGTGTTTCCTGAAACAAAAACAATTTCTTTTTAGCAGACCAAAATTTCCTTTGAAACAGTACAATACAACACAACTAGAAGTCTCATAAGTTCCAGTTATAATTATATAAAAATATTACATAATTCAGTTAGTATTGGTAATATAACGATCATAATTTTTAGGGACTGATTTGGTTTTTTTTTAAAGATTGGCACCTGAGCTAACAGCTGTGGCCAATCTTTTTTTCCTTAAAGATTGGCACCTGAGCTAACAGCTGTGGCCAATCTTTTTTTTTTTTTTTCCTGCTTTATCTCCCCAAATCCCCCCTGGTACATAGTTGTATATCTTAGTTGTAGGTCCTTCTAGTTGTGACATATGGGACGCCACCTCAACGTGGCCTGACAAGCGGTGCCATGTCCACGCCCAGGATCCGAACCAGCGAAACCCTGGGCCGCCGCAGCAGAGCGCGAGAACTTAACCACTCGGCCACAGGGCTGGCCCCTGATTTGGTATTTTTATTAGTCCCACATAAGATGTCTAAACAGATCAATCTTGTGAATTAGATTTGTGATGACTTAAAGAGAAAGTCAATTTTGACTTGAGACAATTTTTTCCTATTTCTTTAAGAACCACTACATACAAGAAACAGTTGAAAACAGTTATACAAAACCTTACAATAGTTGTTCTCTTTATATTAGAGCCAGTGGATTAGCCACAACAATTTTCTCTAAATTTGGACAGCAATTACGGAAATACTAGAACTCCAAGACAATGTAATAAAGTGTCTATGAACTGAAAACTTAACCTGGCTGAACTCTTCTAAGAGACTTATTGTTAATAAAAGGATGGATTATTTCAACAGGTAAGTGAAAATCTCTTAAACAGATTTCTTGGGCTACATTATTACCAGTCTCTCTACAGAAAGTGGCAACCATATCTTATAAGCATGCAGCAGCAATAAGATCCATTTCAATACCTCAAGAAAACTAGTTTCTACTTACAATATGCAGACATTTTAAAACAATCTTAATGTTATTTGACCCGTAAGTATTATAGGGAGGGTTATAGTTGTACTCACCCTTCCCATCTTTGTTTTTCTTCTTCACAGAAATGTTTGGTGTAGTGGCTGGGGAATCTGGTCGTGGTGGTTTGGTTTTTCTCCCTGAAATCAGAACGGCTCTGCATAAATATTTACCCTCAAAAGTGAGAGAGAATGGGCAATGTGGCTGTTCATAAATGCTATTTTTGTCATTTATCCTAAATTTCAAGCACTAAATCCTCAATACATGGATCACATATACTGGTCTCCTAAAATGCTATTTACTAAAAGTAAAATAACTTCAGTAAAAATTTAGCATTAATGTAGTTTAGATCATAAACTTTCATGCAGGAAATGATACTTTGGCTCATTTGTAAAAAATAAGGTTAAGTTTAAAACATTATATCTTGTCTTTCAGGTGACAATACTGATGGTGCTTTCGTAATATTTGGGAGAATTCTTCATGCTGATAAAACTTGGGCTCAAAAAATAAGCCATATAGGTTTGTCTCTCTGTTGGTTATGTAAGCTTTTTAAGGCAGAAGAAACGGATTCTTAGCTTTTCTCTCTTCCAAATACATCTCTGCCTAGAGCTAGTTCTCAAATACTGGAAACTTCCCAAAACTCTAGAAATATGAAAAACAAGTGAGGCAAAATTTTGGTGAACCATATAGTCAATTTTTATTTTCCTGTTTATTTTTGAATATCTCATTTTTGTATATTTCCGTCAATCCACAGCAAACAAACTTCATGGTTATCCAACATCCAATTTCTAAACAAGTCCATTCCAACAGTGTTAAACTGTATTTTGTGCAGCCTTAGTCTGGGTCAACCAACTATTCTAAATCCTTGTTGTGACCCTCTTTTACCACTTATCTAGAATCACAACTTGGTGACAACATTGCTGTGATTTAAGTTGAGATGACGATGCTCTGAACAGACTACCACTCTGTATATGAGAAAACAATGAGGATTCAATATAATTGGATATTTTAGTTTGTACCTCTTACCCCAACATTCTTGAGGCTGACTCTCTCTGGGTTACTCTGGGTGACTCTCTCTGAATTCTGGGTTAATATAGGACAATAACTTAGAAAAGCAGAATTCTACAGCTAAAGTCACAAGGTTAATAACAACTCATCACTAGACAAACTGAATAGAAAAACATTTCTGAAGTTAGGATGAATAAGAGTCAGGGAGAAGAGGGTCAAAGAGGGTCACTCTTCAGGTCCTGTTGTCACAAACGGCAAAATTTCCCTCTTTCTCATAGCTGAATATTCCATTGTGCGTGTATATATATCACATCTTCTCTATCCATTCATCCATGGACGGACACTTAGGTTGTTTCCATATCTTAGCTACTGTGAATAATGCTGCAATAAATATAGGGGTGCAGATATCTCTTTGAGATCGTGTGTTCATTTCCTTTGGCTATAAACCCAAAAGTGGAATTGTAGGATCATATGGTATTTCTAGTTTTAATTTTTCGAGGAACCTCCATACTGTTTTCTATAGTGGCTGTACCAATTTAAATTCCCACTAACAGTGTATAAGGGTCCCCTTTTTCCACATGCTTGCCAACATTTATTTCCTGTCTTTGTGATGACAGCCATTCTAACAAGTGTGAAGTGATACTTAATTGTGGTTTTGATTTGGATTTCCCTGACAATTAGTGATGCTGAGCATCTTTTCATGTACCTGTTGGCCATTTGTGTGTCTTCTTTAGAAAAATGTCTATTCAGGTCCTCTGCCCATTTTAAATTAGATGACTTGTTTTTTTTCCTGCTTTTTCTCCCCAAATCCCCCCCAGTACGTAGTTGTATATTTTAGTTGTGGGTCCTTCTAGTTGTGGCGTGTGCCACCTTAGCATGGCCTGATGAGCGGTGCCAGGTCCACGCTGGGGATGTGAACCAGTGAAACCCAGGGCCGCTGAAGTAGAGCATGCAAACTTAACCACTTGGCCATGGGACCGGCCCCAGATTACTTGTTTTTTTGCTGTTGAACTATATGAGTTCTTTATATATTTTGGATATTAATCTCTTATCGGATATATAGTTTGCAAATATTTTCTCCCATTCCGTAGGTTGCCTTTTCATTCTGTTGACTGTTTCTTTTACTGTGCAGAAGTTTTTTAGTCTAGTGTAGTCCCACTTAATTTTTGCTTTTGTTGTTTGTGCTTTCCATCTTATATTCAAAAAATCGTTGCCAAGTCAGAGTGCATTATTCCATCTTGACTAGAAGAGGAAGTTCCATCTGGTATTTTTTAATAGTCGTATTTTTTGACCATGTTTTTTTATTCTTTTGCTTTAATAATTATAATCATATTCACAGAAAGTTTCTATTTGATAACTCTATTATCTGAAGTTCTTAGAGAACTAACCCTAGGGTTTTCTGTGTCTGCTGCCGCTCACTGAGGAAGTGTCTTCCTCATGTGTTCTGTGATACCAAAATGTGAGTTCACCTTCAACAGGGTTTTATTTGAGGAAATCCTGTGCAGCCTGGGTTTCATGTATGACTTGCCAGAGCAATTCTACAAGAGCTTCTGCCTGGTGCCCCCAATTTATTGCCAGCCTGGGGCCACTTTAACGTTAATTACTTGGCTTGGAATTCCTAAAGTCAGTGATAGTTTAAAATCTAATAAAAAACCTAGGTTTTTAAAGTAAGCCTAGGGGCCGGCAGGCCCAGTGGCTAAGCGGTTAAGTGCGCATGTTCTGCTTTGGCAGCCGGGGGCTCGGATCCTGGGTGTGAACATGGCACTGCTTGGCAAGCCATGCTGTGGTAGCTGTCCTGCATATAAAGTAGAGGAAGATGGGCACAGATGTTAGCTCAGGGCCAGTCTTCCTCAGCAAAAAGAGGAGGATTGGCAGCAGATGTTAGCTCAGGGCTAATCTTCCTCAAAAAAAAATTTTTTTAAAAAAAGCAAGAATTACGAATTCTCAAAGGAAGAATTTTTCCACTCAGAGCCCCAGCTGAGAAATGCAAGCTTCCCTGATATCAGTCTGTACCAACAGGTTTTTCCCCTGAAGGTAATAGCCTTTCCAGGATCCCAATTATATGCTGAGGTCTCTGTCTAATACCCCATCTTGCATTGAACCAAGACTTAAGCATCTCCCTCTATATGGGCAATAAAACCCAAGCCCCGTGGGCATCAAGACTGACATACCCTTCTCAGCCCCTGAAAGCCACTACTACAGCATCGGCTCACTCTTATTGTTTTTATTTTTCCCTTCATTTTGGGCTCTTGGAATTTCTCTTACTTTCATGTGAAGTTAGGTTACTGGGTGGCTGGTGACGCCATTTATTCAACAGGCTGGAGTAGAATCAGAAGGCAATTAAATTGAAAGAGTGTCAGACTTTAGAATCCAACTATGGGCCTAATTTGTGAAAAGTTAAAAAATTCCCTTTAAGACATTCTAACATTTTCCTCTTCAATTACTTACCCACTGATTTCCAACTCCTATTTTTCCCAGTGGAATCTATGCTGATGGTTTTCAAACTATGACCTGTGGGAGGAAGCTGACATGCTTTTACCCACAAGCTCTCTCTGAGCTTGGATAAAAGGGTTTAGATAAAAGGTTGAGGTCTTTAAAAGTTGGAAGAATCCCTTTTCTTTGAGGTAGGCCAAATATGTGAAATGAATAAAATAACGTAATTAAAAAAAAATTAATCCAATATGAAGAAATACCTCTTATCTTTTGTGCCCTCAATTTTTTCTTATATACGTTTTATTTGGTGTAAAAATATCCTTGAGTAAAAATTATATTTAGATTCCACATCAAGATTTGAAGGTTTGCCCTAAACAAATTAACCACCCACCTTTCTTTCTCTTGGGTTGTTCTGGCGATGAGGCTCCCGGTGAGTGTGCATATGTCTCTTGAACCTGGTGAGTTTCCATTACTTCAGGAATCCCATCTAATGTGACGGATACATGGGTGATTGGGGCAACAACAATGTCATCTTCAGATGAACTAAATATATTATTATCTAATGGAAATAAAATCAACTAATTATAATCAACTTTGTATTATAAACCAAAATAATTTCATAAAATAATTTCCTGTTTCTATGCAGATTAAAGTAGAAATAAAATCTTGAAATCTAGTCCCTGCTTTTTATTTTCTCTGCCCTAAATCAGATACCCTAAGTCAGTCTAGTCTTGACTGGACTATTCCAATGTCTTCATTACTTGATTTCCTATCACCAGTCTATCTCCTCTCTCTTCTCCATTCTTCACATTGCTGCTGAAGTTATTCTCTGAAACCTAAGTCTGATCTGACCACATTATTCTTCTTTATAAAAATTTTACACCCTGAAAATTAGAAATAAAAATAAAATTGACATATCTTCCCATAGTTTATAGGGGAAAAAAAGAACAACCCAAACTTCAGAGCGTGCCTTTTGAAGCTTCCAAAATGTAGATCAAACCTACCTTTCCAATCTCATCTCTCAGCCACCATGAAGCTTACACTTCAGCTATACCAAAGCATTTTTCTCTGAAACAGTTCATTCTTTTCTACAGATGTGTCTTTGGCTCAATCCATTCCCGTTACTTTGAATGCCCTTTCCTGTCTCCTCTACCCTTTAAAAGCTTACTTGTCACTTACAGGCCAGGTCAAGCACTCCCACCATAAAGCCCGTCTCTGATGTTCTCAGCTAGAGTACCCTCTCCTTCCAGAACCTTGCTATCCTTCTCAGAGACTTTACTTTTGGCTTTTACAGTTATTTACATATATGTCTTCAAAATTAAATCGTAAGCTCGAGGAAAGAAACAGTATCTGTTCATTTGAATATTACCTTATTGTCTAATATACTTCTATGCATATAGAAAATATTCAATAAACATTTTGAATTGATTTAGTAATAATTAATTTTATGAGTTTGACAACGTTCTTATCAAAAAAGCCCAAAGAAGAACACAGATTTAAAAGCAGATCAATAAAGTGGCAGTGAATTTTATTCCATTAAGTGTTAGAAAATTTTTCAATGGATTTTTGTCTATTCACTGATAAACATCTATAGAGATCACTAAATTATAATAGTATGGGCTCCTAATACTCTAATACTTTGACCAATGAGGTTAAGAGACAAATTCTGCATAATCTGCTATTTGACAACTAAATAAATTACTCATTTATTCCTAAAGGCCTCACTTCCCCAATTTTTAAAAAAGTCTTTTTTAACTTACACTTTAGTAAAGGTGCCTCAACTAGTACCATACCTTAAAATGCACCTGGGACACACAAAACATAAAACATGGTCTCTGGTCTCTTAATTTACCACCTAACAGAAAGAGACAGCAAGAATCACTTTTCAAAGTATATAAACATGAACAATCCTAACACATAACCACTCACTTATTCGTTTTTCATCCAGCATAGGGCCAGGAGAATCCATATTCAGGAGAGCCTCAGCAGCCTCGATAGTTTCAATTGTTTCATCCCCATTATGACAGGAAGCTTCAACTACAATACATTTAAAGAAAAAACAGAATTAGTTACAAGATATCCGCTGTTCTAAAATGCACAGATTCTGGTCTCTTAAACCAGGATACATCACTTAACATTTGGGTTTATATACATACTTTGTATCAACATATAAAATCTATACTGAATATGACTATTAAATATTTATCTATTTCTTATTTTTAAAAGAACTTTGCAAGATGTGGAGTTTTTATTAAAAAACAAAACAAAAACCCTGTAAGATGCTGGGAGGTAAGAGAGAAGCAAAATAAGCTGGTTTCTGGAGGGAAACCACTAGTTAATTCTCCAATAATTCTTACATTTTCAAGAATAAATAAGATGGCTATTGGACTTGATTAGAAAGGGTTCAGGAATGACAGTCGAAAATCTCAGGTGTGCCACTAAACTAGGATGTCACTGGGCAAGTCATTTTGTTTCTGTAGACTCCACACTATAAAATGACTGGGTTGATATTCTCAAGTCCCCCTTCAGCTCTAACACTGATTCCAATGCTCTAGTTTGCTGATAGGAATGAACATGGATCTCTGTTAATCTCCGACTCTTCTTCTATTCCTCTACAATTAACGAACTGCCACCATCTCCAAAAAGTTTTAGTCATAGTCACATTACTAGAACCTAAACATCCTTTGATAATTATAGTATTTTGGTACCATTCTTCTCTAGTAGTGCTATAGAACACTAATTCCCCTACTTGAAAATTAATCCAAGTACATGCTAGATACTTGACACTTCTCTGCATCCCAGACTGATGTCTAAAATAGATGCCTAGTGAATTCCTCGATGGCTTTTAGCCCCTTGGCTCCAGGATCAGCAACAAGAAACTAAATAAAGAGCTAAAAATGCCCTTTTTTATGGATAAATTCGATATTCATCATCCATAATCTCTCATACTTACTTGCTGTATTTCCCCACGAATATTTGTGATAAAAATTAGACATTATTTTTAAAAGTTTGAATATATATATATAAAAAATCATGACTTCCAGATTCAGGGATAGACTGACAGTATAATTTTTAATTTACAGAGGTTTAAATTTTTAATTTACACTTTTAATTTTACACAGGTTAAAGAGTAAATATAAACAAAGTACTTAAAGCAAAAGTTCTCTCATCAAATGAATGATAGTGATCATTTCCACATTCTTCTCTCCCCATTTCTATTCAATCCAGAGAACGAACAAAATCATCTTCCTTTTCATTATTAATACTATAATCCAATTTCCAAGAAATTGGCAGCTCTTTGAAATTTAACTTAACTTTCCATTAGAATATTATAACATTTATTATCCTAAATATTTCCTAAACAGTTCACATTCTCTTTAGACTGAAGATCTCTAAGAACCTAGGAAATTCTTAATCTTCTCTAAGTTCTCAATTGGCAATAATACTGAATGCCTATCACTCTTAAACAATCGTGCTAGGAAATGTGTAAGCTACAATAGTACAACACATGACCTTTTTCCTTATCCACTGGTAACTGACACTCAGATACTATTTAAGAGAACAACAAACTGATTAATTTTATGGTATAAAATAGACTGACTACAGGCACTGTATATTGCTATAAGTTTAGAAGGCTTCCTAAAGAGATGACCTTAGGCTGAGTCATTTAAGATAGCTAGGATTTAAATACTTAGAGAGAAAGAGTGAGAAATTAAAGCAAGAACAATAGTAGAAGGACATGAGAATAAGAATTTTGCATTTAAAAAAAATGAGGTAACTGGTCTATATCATTATAAAACAAAATATACAACCGCTAAAGGCTGTTATAATAACAGCAGATTTAGTTAACTTGCTTTAGACACTGATATGGCTGACTGCCTTCCCAAGGGAGGAATCTCACGATGGGAATGGAAGGGATGGACTGCTGAAGGAGCAAAGAGCCAGAAAAATTCCTGAAGGATGCAAACAAAGAAGTTCAGGATCTAGGGTCATATACTAGTCAGCTCCTCTCAATTAGGAAGAAATTCCTAACAAAGAACATTTTCTTCCATAAAATAACTGTATTTTATTTTATGGGCTAACACTGGGAGTCCCCACAACCTGTCAAACCAGAAGAGAAGCACCTTCTTCCAGATACGAAAGACGTACCTGCAGAATTCCAATCTTCTGGGCTTGATTCCCTCAGCTAGTATCGTCGAACCCACATATCTATAGGTCACATGGAAATCAAGGAACAAGAAGACAGCCAATATAGAAAGAGGCAAGAATTTTAATCTAGCCTGAATTTTTCAAACAGTAGTTTAACATTTCATGGAGCCTTCCTCTTTCAAAGGCTTTAAACTTTTTCTCTTAAGGCAAGTGGTCACATTTCTGAATTATTACAGAAAGCATCCTAGAAAATTTGAATAGATTTTTGACTAGTTTTTTATTTCTGAAAGTATGTGTGCTTTTTATTTTCATGTCATGATGCACAAAACTTCATTAGGAGATTACTGATAGACACTACTCATAGTCTTCATTACGAAACTATTTCTCCTACTTGTAATGAAAAAAATCAATTAAAAATTTTTCTTTTTAAATGGGGCTGGCCCCGTGGCCGAGTGGTTAAGTTCGCGTGCTCCACTGCAGGCGGCCCAGTGTTTCGTTGGTTCGAATCCTGGGCGCGGACATGGCACTGCTCGTCAGACCACGCTGAGGCAGCGTCCCACATACCACAACTAGAAGAACACACAACGAAGAATATACAACTATGTACCGGGGGGCTTTGGAGAGAAAAAGGAAATAATAAAATCTTTAAAAAAAAAAAAAATTTTTCTTTTGAAAGATTTTGTTTTTTCTTTTTCTCCCTAAGGCACCCCCAGTACATAGTTGTATATTTTTAGTTGTGGGTCCTTCTGGTTGTAGCATGTGGGACACCGCCTCAGCATGGCCTGATGAGTGGTGACATGTCTGTGCCCAGGATCCAAATGGGTGAAATCCTGGGCCAGTGAAGCCGAGCGTGCGAACCTAACCACTCGGCCACGGGGCTGGCCCCAATCAATCAAATTTTAATTATCTGTTCTATAAAAAGAAATGCTTTAAAAGTCCAATTCCTCCACAATAGTTAAAACCAGAAAAGATCACTATCTCTAAAATTCTAGCAAAAAATGATTGAAGCAGGGCATTGTAACACTTCCTATTAAAACCTTAAGCCTCCTATTTAAAATCTTGTAGATTTACGGCATAGTAGAAAAGCATATTGCTCCTCCGTCAAGGCTTTGAAATTCTATGAACTGACGAAAATTTTTAAATTTAAAATTAAATTTAAAAAAGGCAGGTAAATAAGGCACAGATAACTCAACAATTATTACTATTTTTATAATTCTAGATATTCATTTACATAAATAAGTTTTCTAAAATATTTTAAAGTCTGCTGGGTAGATGAAAATGATAAAAGCAGTACGGATAATAATTTAGTTGCCTATCAATTCAGAAAAAAACAAGGAGAATTTCAAACCACTTCTTTGTCAAGCTTTTTATAACGAAAAATTTCAAACATACATAAAAATAGAGAAAATCATATAATGAACCCCAAGTATTAAGGGCCCAGCTTCAATACTTAATAATAGTCAATCTTCCTTCATCCATACTCCTCAACCCAATACACACACACCAGATATTTTAAAGAGAACCCCAGATAGCCTATCGTTCAAGTGTAAATATTACAGTATATATCCCTAAACGACAATACCATGATCACACCTCTTAAAAATTATTCTTTAAATCAGATATCCAGTTAGTACTGAAATTTCTCTAATGTCTCAGGTTCTTTAAAAAGTTGGTTTGTTCATATCAGGATCCAAACACAGTTCATGCATTTCGTTTGACAAGCACCTCCTCCCTCTTTTTTTTTCTTTCCTTTTTGCTACTTGTTTTAGAAGAAACAGGGTCATCTGTCTGTAGTTTCCCCCTTTGTAGATTTTGCTGATTACACCTCTGTGGTGTCACTTACCATATCCCTTCCCCCAAGTATTTCCTGTAAACTGGTAGTTATATCTTGAAGCTTGATTAGATTCACATTCAATTTTTTGGCAAGAATATTTCAAAGGTGATGCCGTGTGATTCTATGTGCCTCCTAAAGTACTGCTAAGAAACCTGGTGGTCTCCTTTCAGTACTGTTAAGATTGAGAACCAGATTCAGGTGTTGTCAGCCTGATCCATCCATCATGAAATTCTCTGTCAGTCAGCTTTTTACCTGATGGCCTTAACAGTTATTGACAATAGTTGCCTAGATCCACAATGTCCTTAGGGATTCCAAAATGGTGATAATTCTAATCCTATCATTCCTCCAGCATTTATCAGACCTCTCTATAAAGAAGAACTTTCCTTCATCAACTATCTGGTTACCTTGAGCCATGGTATATACAATAAGGGCAAACTAAATGCTGGATTCTTTTTCCATTATTTACTGGTTTTCAGAATAGTAAATAGGCTTCCCAGCACCTTCCAAAGGTGACCACTGAGTTACTTTTTTATCATTGCGAATACACAGATTCTAACATATTCCTCAATCCTCTGCAGTTGTAATTTTTTTTTTTTGAGGAAGATTAGCCCTGAGCTAACATCTGCTGCCAATCCTGCTCTTTTTGCTGAGAAAGACTGGCCCTGAGCTAACATCTGTGCCCATCTTCCTCTACTTTGTATACATGGGATGCCCACCACAGCGTGGCCTTCTAAGCGGTGTCATGTCCACACCCGGGATCCGAACCCGCAAACCCCAGGCCAGCGAAGCAGAACATACGAACTTTAACCGCTGCGCCCACCGGGCTGGCCCCTGCAGTTGTAATTCTTAATGATCCTCTAAATGTCCCATCTTCGGCCACTGGGAACTAAACTTGGTTTCTGGGTATTTTAGACATGACCTGAGAAATGCTGGATCCCTTTCATGCCTTCTGGGATGATAAGATATTATAGGCTATTCTTGTACATTTCCTGCCCCGAACCCAGAATTAGTTGTTTCTCCCAAGTACCCTGGTATCTTTAGTGGAAAGTGCATT